GCTTGACTTCTCCGAAAGCACCCTTGCCGATAATCTTGATGGTGTTGTAGTTTTCGGGCTTGTCCTTGGTTCGTAGGAATCGCAGGTACTGGCCCTCCTTGCGGCCGGCCGTAGACCAAATCTGCTCGCGTCTTTGCTGGCTCTGACCGGGCTCGGAAAGCTTGACCTCCATCTCGGATTGTCTATGTAACGGGAGATTAGCACGTGCGGCTTTCGAGCTGGCAAGTCTTTGTCCTGCACTCACCTCTGGTTGCGTTCTCTGGCACGCTTCACGCTGTCCTTGAAGAAATCGGAGGCCAATTGGGTACACTTCTTCTGGTTGTTGTTGGCGTTCGGGCCGTACTTCTCGTAGAGTCGCTCGGGAGCGGGAGCAAAGACCTCGACGGGAGCTGCTTGCTGGTTCGGCATCGGCGGCGTCGCATAGTGTCCGTAACCCTGAGGCGTCTGTCCCGAGGCACCGGCAGTGCGAGGTCTTTGAGCGGGCGAGGGCCCACGGGAACCGTAGGGCGATGCCCGAGCAGCGCCGCCTAGGTTTTGGTGAGAGAATTGGTGGGCGAGACCGACATTGGGATCATTGGTCCCCGGGGTGTTGGATCGAGGCTGATAGCCCGCATTATAGTCGCCGTGACCCTGGGGAGGATATTGGCCCTGCTGCTGGCTCGGGTGGAAATAGCCCTGTTGAGCATAACCGGTCGCATACTGCTGTTGCTGCTGCTGCCCCGGGTGTTGCTGCTGCTGGTGCTGCATACCGCCTGCTTGTTGGTGCTGCTGCTGCTGTTGGCCTTGGTGAGGGAAGACGGGCTGAGGAAAGGTAGAAGGCGTGGTGGGATACTGTCGGTCGCCGCCAGGACCCAGACGATCGTTTTGGTTACCGATGTTGAGGTAGAGACGGTTATTATTACCCTCCATTGTGTAGAAGTTTCGTCTTGACTCGGGGGGGCACGTCGTGTGCGGGTAGGGGTTGGCAGTTGCGCAGGCTGTGCGGGCGACTAGCAAAGTGGCAGTTTAATTGACAGTGCTATGGGCGAGCGGACCGTGGAAGTGAGGCAACGACTAGAGTGGTAGACGGCGGGGAGGCTGCTAAAGGAGATGGGAAGGTTGCAGCCGCAGTGCGCAGGGTCAAGGCGGGTGGTTGGATGGATTGGGGTCGTCCCCCGGGGCGGAAGTCGAGAAGAATAGATTGCGGTGGGCGGATGAGTGGATGGGAGGTCCTCGCAAACCCACTGGAACTTGATGAATGGTAAGTGCGTGCCCTAGTGAGTGAGAGGAGAGGCCAGGGATGGGGGGACGTAAGGTCGGTAAGGCAGGACAGGATGTGAAGATTATGATATCTGGAGGTTGGAGTATCACCACATACCTTGGCAAGTTGAGTAAGTGTAGTGTAAAGGCGGTCGAGGAAGCTAGTTTGTCTATCTGTATGCTCACCAGCAAAAAAAAAAAGGGGTGGGAGGCGAGGATTTGTTGATAGGACGCTTTGCCAATGGAGCAAAGAGGTGCAAAGGTGGCGGAGAGGGGCTTGATGCTCCAAGGGGTGGAATTTCCCCGGTGCCAACAGTGCAGGTAAGAACAACGACTGCCGGGCGAAGCTAGGAAGTTAGCTGTGTGTAGTCGGTGTACAGTAATCGGAGGAGGCGGTAGGTTGAAGCACCTCGTGGCTTGAGCGAGGTGAGGAAAGGTCAAGCTGGCAAAAGGCGAGGTGTCGAGGAGGGAGAGAGAGAGGTCCAAGTCACGAGACCGGCAGGAGAGCTGGTGTTGGGCGAGGCACTCGGTAAGGTACTGTACTTTGGATGGAACAACGTAGTTTTTGGTGTTTGGTATTTTGGAATGTACTCTGTACTTTGCTGAAGCACACAACACGAGGAGGCGGTCGAGGACTTGGTACAAAGGAGGCACGAATAGGCTGATTCCAGGTTTGAGGAGGCCTTGGGATTGGGGTCGGTCTGAGAATGAGAGGGGAGGGGGAAGGAGGGGTGATGGGGTGCACGCTGCACACTGCACAGAGGGACGGACACCTGCGAAGCGGCCCCGGCAGTGAGGTGGAGCAGAGTCACGGAGTGCAGGAAGGGAAGGCAGGAGTCGGTCGAGGTAGGTAGCAAGTACCTTCCGCCATCAACAATTACTCAAGGTAAGGCAGGTAGACCTTGGATGGAAGGAAGGAAGGAAGGGATGCAATTGGGTTCAACGTCAATGTCGTAGGATGTTCCTTCTCCTAACTTTCGAAGGAAGGTACGCAGCCCGCTGCAGCAACAAAAAGGCAAGACCAGACGGGGTGACGGGAAGGGAATCCTGAAGAGAAACCGCGCCGCACCTGCCACAATCAACGCACTACAAATTCACACTACCAGCACCTGAGGCGAGGCGGGGATCCGAGAACTCAGGGGAGGGGGGCACTTAGGTTAGAGGCACTCGGGGGGCGGCGCCGCGGCCTTGAAAGTCGAGGGGCCTCGCTGGACCCCAAGTACCCCTGAGATTCGACCAATGCCGAGCTGTGAGTGGCCGATGAGCGGGGTGAGGTGGGGTCGGAGCTGCATCCACTGGGATTCTGGATATGCCTCCGCCGCACCTCCTCCACTTGGAGGTTTGGCATCTGGCCTTATGCCTTGTGAGATGACACTTGCTAGGTACTTCGTGCACTTTCTAGCAGTCTATCCGTAGATATTGTTTACTACAGTCTTGAATGTGCATTGCTTCAACTCAAAACGCGTTGGTAAATACCTATGGCATGCACTGTCTACATCTTGCTGCATTGCATTTCTAGCTCCTTCCCAGACTTCTCCATCATCGGTCGAGATCCACAAAACGTGCGGGGCGGGAAACAACAACGAGAAAGGAGGGGCGCTGACGATGTGCTAAGCAATTGGCAGGAGACCGCCGACATGTACCTTGCCTCACTGCGTACTATGAAAAAGTACTTGCACCTCGACAACTCGCTTATTCTCCCTCTTTTCACCGACTCTTGAATTTCATCCTGATGCTCCAGACTCAACGTCCAATTCGACATCATCGCATGCCATGGACGATGGCACTCGGCCTGCCAACGTATCGGGTCCCGGATGCTATAGCTAGCCCCCGGAGCTGAAGCTCTAATTCGACTCACTCGACTCAGTCATTGACTTTCCCTCGGGGACCTCGAGTACCTAGCCAGCGGAAACTCTGATGCAACTACCGCATCTCAAGCCTCTGTTTCCGAATCGTCTCTCACCATCCAACCTCAGTCTTCAGATGACCGCCCCTCTTCACCGGGAAACAGACACACCACCTGAGACCTCTACTGAGATCCAGCATTGGCTTGATACTACCCTGAGAACATTGCTCAAAGTGCTACCGCCGTCTTCAGTCTCTGTCCCCGCGATTGGCTTTTCACTTCTCTCCGTGCAACATCGTCCCGGCATCTTGCCGAATACCTTCTCCAACCGGAGCATGTCAAGTGCCTTGCCGCAAGGTTACTTGGGTATCAACCGGACGCGGACAGCCTAACCTGAAAGTTCGGATTGTTTCTCTACGTCTGTGAATGGCCAAACCGTTTAACCCTTCGGAAAGCTCAAGCGGTCGCATCACTTACGCATCCTGCCCGCCTAGCCCACAAGCATGGCTATCCCTTCCACCCAGTTCATCTCTCCCGTCGCCGTCTCGTCTCGCCCGCATCCGCACGTCACTTGGACCCTAGGCTCTAACAGGGTCCCTTCATGGCTAGAGGCAAAAAAGCAACTCTAGTCAACCTCCCGCTAAGGTGTGCTGACTGCCAACTCATTCGTGACCGAGCATTCCGGCGGCGGCGGAGGCGGCAGCGTCGTCTTCTACCATACCCACCCAGCCCAACAGTTTGGCTCACGCTCGGCATCGGCACGAGGCATTGTCGGCCGTGTACAGCCGCCGTGAGACACGGCTCTAGCAATAAATAGTATTTTGAATGCCTGCCGCCCCGCTCGCATCCGCTCCAAATCGTATACGATTGTCACACCCGTCACAGGAACAAGCTCACAAGCTCATCCGTGGCACATGGCAGCGTTACACTCTTCGTCCTCGTCTGCATGGCATTCATGCTCTTCCATCTTCGATACCGCGGTCTGCTGCATGTCACCAGCACCCTGGCGACCTTGGCACCATCTCTATCTGTCGATAACGCTGTGTTCACCTCCACAGCGCGCAGTCCACGGTTCCAATGTCTCACGCTTGTCACCCAAACCACCACGTTCAACCTCGTATGGCGGAATCTCGTGGGCACCACAGGAGAAACCAACAAGCTCAGCGCACCGCCACACATTATGCTCTCGGTTGGGATGACGAAGCTCTTGGTCGGAGGACGGCCGCCGGGTTCGAGTGATGCCCTGTGCCTGTATCAGGTTTACCTAGTGATCCATGATTGAGCTCCATGCTCGCTGCCATCGTCGCCCAATGGCCACGGCCCGACGACGCCCCATCCACTATGCAGCTGCCTGCCATCGCGAGTTCTGGGCTGTCATTGTACAGAGAGGTCGATCATGCATCAAGATCTGCCACTCTTCTTCGGGGATCGCCAGACAACTGGTCCAACGTGGGCCTCGGTGTAGCGCCCGTCACATGGGCAGTCTTTCACCGGGGCTTAGGATCTCAGCGGACTGCATGGCAAGGCTTATCAGTACACCAACCTAGGCGATTGTGAAATTCATCTTTAGCTTGGTATACCTAACTTGTCACCATCGGGTAGTAGGAGAAGAGGCTCTGGAGAGGAAGATGCCGTGACAGCTCGCCCGGTAGGTCCCTAGAAGCACTATTCCATTTATAGAAGGCGGTCAGCTTTGACCAGGCGCTACGCCGTTTAGGGACAGATAGGTCCGATAATTCGGCGAAGCTCTTATCGCGACTAAAATTTCCAAAAACCTCACTCCCGTTCTCCTGGCCTGAGGTAGGACATCTCGAGGCATTGCGAGCCACCGTTTTCATAATCGCATCTTGAGTGCGACACCACATCATCCTGTACGGAAGCTTCTAAATACTGCCATCTCTCTAATACACCCATAATGGCGGACTCAAACCCCACGCCGCCTGAGGTAAGCAAGCAATGATGCCCATCACCATCACGAACCTTTAAACTGACAATGGCATCTTACAGGCGGCCCCGAAAGCACCGACTCCTACCCCCGCGACAGCAACCACCACAACCACAACGACAGCCACATCCGCCGCAGAAGGCTACAAAGCCGCGAAACCAAACCCAGTCTGGCAAATGATGGGCCTCCGCGGCCCTCCCAAACGCCTCCCCTCCCGCAACTGGCTCATCTTCCTCTCCCTCACAGGCGCCATCTCCTCCGCCATCATCTACGACAAGCGCGAAAAGAAGCGCGCCACAGCCCGCTGGGCCGCCGCTGTCTCCCCGCTCGCCAGCGAACCCGTCACCGATCCCTCCCAGCTGCCGCGCAAACTCACCGTCATCCTCGCCTCCCCGCCCGGCGATGGCCTGCGCGTCGCGCAGGACCACTTCATCGAGTACGTGAAGCCCATTCTCGCCGCTTCTGGCCTGGACTGGGAGTTTGTCCAGGGCCGGCAGCAAGGTGATGTCCGCGCTGCCGTGGCAGAGAAGATTCGGAGGCGCAGGAGCAGGGAGGAGAGGCCCGAGGTCGAGCTGCTCCCCACCGAGGAGAATATCCGCGACGCCATCCGCGCCAAAAATAACACACCCGAGTTCGAGGGTCCCGGAGGCGACATCGTTATCGGGCGGCACGCGTGGAAGGAGTACATCCGCGGCCTACACGAGGGCTGGCTCGGTCCCCTCGACCCGCCTCCCAAGCCCGAGGTAGTCTCTACCCCTGAGCAGCCCGCAGCATCATCAGACTCTACATCAACAGAAACAGAGGGCGGTGCCGGCGAGGCAGAAAAGAAGGAGGAAGAAAAGCCCAAGGAAGAAGAGAAGAAATCAGACCGCCCCCGCCAACCCGTCCCCTACAACACCACGGCAGACTACTCAGCCTCCCACCTCCCCTCCACCCTCCCCGCCGAATTCTCCCCCTCGGAACCGGTCCAGTTCCCCCACCTCCTCGGCTTCGCCGGCACCTTCACCCGCATGGGCCGCTTCTTCAACCGCCGCCAGCTTGCAGACGACGTAGGCCGCCAAGTCGCGGCCGCCTGCTTCGCTCACGCCCGCGAATACCGTGACGCCGAACCCGAGGCCGCCGCAGCACAGGACTCCGCGCCCACGCCGTACGAACAACAGCGCGCCCTGGCGCACGAGGAACGCGACTGGGTTAAATCTGTCTGGAAGCCCGTCGACGAAGCGACGGCCGACGAGGAGGAGAAGACCAAGGAGCGTATCTGGGCTTCGCCCATGGTTATTGATCCGCGCATCGCGCAGCGCATGCGGCGGTTTGAGATCCGGGCCGAGGACGAGGAGCGCGCAAAGGGGATTGTGATCCCCGAGACGCAGATTGAGGGCTGGATCAAGGGCACGCTGCGGTCTTTGGGCTCGTGGGGGTGGAGTGTCGTCAAGGGGGAGGAGCGCAAGGGGCCCAATGTTGGAAACATTGATGATGAGTAAAAGTCTCCCCTCTCACTCTATCTGCCCCTGATTCCGTTTGGATAATGAAGGAGAAGAGTTGAAAAAGGAAACGATGTATAACTATCTTGACCACCACCCCACACAGCTCTACAGAAAGCGACTGGGAAAGGGGCTCACAGCATATTGTAATTCTAGCTTGATGTTCTTTATCTTTTGCTTTTTCAATGTATCTTCTTCCCTTTCGCTGCATGGACTAGAGCGCGGGAGGTTCATCATAGACTAGGGGTTCACTGGCCAAAATAATGCCATGAAGCCCTCCGCTTGTTACGAATACTACTGTACACTCCTCTGTTTCTTCCTCATAACCTTGCTCTCTTATCTTCTGGTTCAGTCCCTCGTATTGTGAGATGTAGTCGAAGAGTGTATCAGCTAATGTAGATATCAATATCTAGAGCTAAGCAGTGGCACCGCCCGTCTTGCCAGTATCCTGTCAAGATGCGAGTGTAGATGCCACTATCTCAAAGTGTTGTAAGCGCCTCAATCGTCGTCCGAGTCAGATCCGTACGCAACAAGACTCGGCTTGCCCTTCACCGGCGGAGGCGCAGGCGCAGCTGTAGTCGTAGTCGTAGCCGTAGTCGCAGCTCCAGTCGAACTTCTCTTCGCAGCTCCCTTCTCAGCATCAGCCTTCTCACCCGTCGTCGTCTTCTTCTTCTCATCCTCCGCCTTCTCATCCCCCTTCTCCCTCTTCACTCCAAACCCCCTCTCCCTCTCCTTCCTCCTCCTCTTCCTCGGCCCAACAGCCCACTCCCCATCACCACCCTCACCCTCACCATCCCTCTCATCCCCCTTCTCGCCCCCCTCCTCCTCGTCACCCTCACCAGCCCTCTTCACCCCCGCACCCGCACCACCCCCCTGCGCCCTCCGAAAAGCAACAAGCCCCTCCTCCGTCTCCCTCCTAACCCTCTCCTCCTCAGCCCTCTTACTCGCCCTAACCTCATCCAAGAAATCAATCTCATCATCGTCCAGCGCGCGGAACTGGTTCCGAATCTTATTCGCTTCCTCAAACGCAGCCTGCTTCGCGGCTTTATTCGCCTGCAAGACATCGTACAGACTCTTCTCCCCGCCCTCGACGGACTTCACGCGCGCCTCTTCCCGCCTCTTACGCTCGGCGTCGAGCTCTTTCTGTACGAGTTCCCACTCGGCGCTCTTTTTGGCTTCGGCGGCGGATTTCGGCGCTGATCCGGCGGCGGCAGCGGTAGTACCGGCATTGGTAGTGGTTGTGGTGGTCATCGTGTCTTGAGCCACGGCCTCGCCCGTCTCGGCGTTGATAGCCCCCGCTGATACGAACCTCGACATCTTTCCTGTGACCTTGTCCCGCCTCCTCACTTTTCGGGTCCTCCTCAACCGACGTAATACCACCAGACGTCGATCCCTGAACCTCCTTTTCTGTGGCTGAAATGGAAGTTGAATTTCTCCCTTCGTCTCACAGAGGGGAGAAAAGAGTATATAACGACCGGGTTGGATATGCTGCTTGAAATTGATATAAAGCAGCTCTTTTTCGTGTCAGAGCCCTTGAAGAGATACTCTCCTCCTGGAGTTTTTTTTTTTGGGCGGGTCTTGCCGACTTTTTTCTTGTTTGTTTGTCTGGGGTAAGTAAGGCTACCTCGTACAGCCGAGCGCTCGGTAGCAAATCAGCCGTCTTATGGGAAACGAGGCGTTCGATAAAGACTCAGATTGAAGTCGGGCTTCAGGAAAACGGTGCAAAGGGTCCAGTCAAAGAATGGTACTCAAAGTCGAAGTGTCATAGCGTCTCTCTCTAATCCAGTAGGGAAGGTGTGATTTGAGAAGACGTTTGTGGGTGGGTGAGTGTCTCAAGTGAGTTAGTTGATGAGGCCGAGGTCGACGTTGAGAAGTTGGAGGAAGTTGGCAAATGGGCGAATCAGGGAGCAGAAAGTCACTGCCCTCTTTAGAGTGGGGCAGCAATCCAATTGAAAATAGGCTGGCCACTTGGGTCTCCAGGTCATCTACCATCACTCAAAGTCATCACCCAATTCCTCACGAGACCTGAGCTTCTCGAAGTCAGAAAGACGGCATAGATAGGAAATGTTCACATTTAAGAATTCCCCAAGGCCAGGCAGGTATGTTTGCTTCATCATATTTTGTTATTTTGTTTAGTTGTCTAGGACTGTAGTGTCTTCACTAAGTAGGCCATGTCTTTGTCGTCGCCCACGGATATGCCGATGCCGTTGTGTGCTCCATGCCTTTTTTTCCTTTTCCAATCTCGTCCTTTCAGGAAGACTTTTCCAATCCTGCTATTGATGCAGCTCACATCATGGCGTACCCGATACCCACGGCGATGTGCCTATTTGACCAGCGGTCACTGGGCGACATACAAAACTAGCCCCAGTCCCGACGTCTTTCTTGTTCGTTGGGTTCATATCCGTAAAACCACCACTCCCATCACCATCCACGGGTCGAAGAACAGATGACCTGCCTTGCCATAAACTGAATGTCTCCAACCCCGATCCCAAACACTCTAGTGGATGCCGGTAAAAGTTGGCATGAAGGGAAAGTAAAAAGAAATAAACGTCTAACAATGTCATGAACAGAAAAAGGCGTAGAAACAGCAGTGGCCCCCCAGGCATTGTGCCTTCCGGGCAATGAGACGGGCCAGTGTGCCGAATGAACAAGAAATGCCAAACAAACAAAGTAAAAAGTAAAAAGAGACTCCATACCCGCATCCTGAAGGCTTTGCCTCCCATTTTTTGACCAGTAAACATGAATGCAGAACACCTCTCTCCATGTTGAGTCTCCCTTTTTTTTCGTTCTCGCAAGTAGAAAATCGTATGCCCGCGCAAAGCCAGCCAGTAAAGTGAAATGTGATCCTATGTCCCTTTACTTGATGCACGTCGTCTTTTTTTGGGGCAGCGCCGACGAGGCTGGCGCCATTGACCATGAGGTCTTGTCGAATTGAGAGCTAAAATCTCCGCCTTTCGCAGACAGAATACGAGCCGGGGCAGAAAGCCAGATTGTTGCCGGAAACAGGTTGAATTACAGGAAAACAAGGTGGTCTCTTTGGCGTGCCACAAAGGAAATGGATGTCGCTGGCGATGGGTCATCGTAGGGTGGTCGGGATTCGAAACTCGTGGACCTGCGGTCGCGGGGCCATTATCGTTTGGTAGCACCATAGCCGACGCAGGAGAATGACCAGTCGAGATGTAAGCCGGCGTACGAAAATTGAGTAATCGAGAGAATGCCGAATCCGAATAGAGGACCGCCACCATCACACCAAAAACACACAGCCAAGGGATCTATTGAAATGAAAACTCCGTGGGGATCGCAAATTGCGACCTTGAAACGCCAGGAATGAATTTATCCGTATACCAGGGGGGGAAAATTAAAGAAATATGTCATTAAGGGTCGCAGCCGCGCGTCGTAGCCATCCACCTCCAAACGCATTGTGGCTGCGAGACAATCTAGTAGCCAAGTCAATCGCGCATGGTAGCGATGGTATCGAAGGGGGCAAACGTGCCCGTGTCGTAAAGTCGAATGCCGACGTGTGGACCATTCGGTCAAATAACCGCTTCTTTCGGTTCTCGTCGTGAGAGGGTATCTGAAGAATGCAAATGTATCGTTCATGCCAGAAAAAAACAAAGTCTGCGTCTCCGGTGACGCTAGACCTCCCAAACTTTTCCGATAGCAAAATTCCCTTCCAGTTTCGTAAGACGATTGAGTGGGTCTGCCAGATATTGCCACAACTTTAGCCCATTACAGGCTGGCCAAAGGTGGGGTGAGCAAAGTACGAAGACGCCTTGGCAGGACCAACGCAGTTCGCACAGCTACACTCCGCAACACCATGCTCCCACATGGTTTGCTGGTAACCATAGTGTCCAGGGAAGTTCTGTTGGTTGTGGCGGTGGCCATAGTAGTTATGCGATGGCTGCTGGTAGCGAGTGTTCCACTGGCCCGTGGTAGCGGCCTGGGAGAACCAATCGTTGTAGCGAGCGTTGGCAGAGGTGGCTGAATTAATGTACTCGGGCGTGCCGTAGCCAGAATCGGGAGGAGTGAGCGGCGCATTTTGCCAGTTCCAGTTGCCACCGTAGGCTTGCTGGTGAGCCAGCTCGTTGCGCTTGATAGCCTCGTAGCGCTCGTATTCAGCCGCCTGCTGCTGAACAAACGTATGATAGGAGGAACGTCCACCATATCTGTTATTGATGTTGGTGTCGATGGCGGGGACGAGTCTCTCACGAGTGACTCTTGCCGCAGCCTGGTCCTTGAGGACCTTCCATTCGTCCCAGCTGGTGAGCCAGGCCTTGTAGTCCGCGCTGTAATCCAAGTTGACGTAAAGACGCCAGCCGGATTGCTCGAGCCACTCATGTTCCAGAGCGTTGAGCTCGGCGACGGGAATGCCGCTCACCTCAGACCAAGAACGATTCTGGAAGGTGTTGTCGTCCAAGAACTTGCTTCCAAGCAGGAGGGACACGGTCAGCATGCGCCAAACCTGTCCCTCGGGAACAGTGTACGAGGGGTTGTTTTGCTTGAGGGTGTTGACACGCTTCGCCAGGTAGTTCATGCCGAGGAGAATGGTGCTCTTGGGCAGTCTCGTCGATGAGAGAATCTGCGAGACGAACTTGCGAAACGGGGGCGTGACGGCCGTGGTCGACAACGGCATAACAACGCGGGTAGCCATCTCTGCAACGAACTCGGCCATTTGGTCGACCTCGTAGTCGAGGACGGCACAGACACCTCCGGGCATGATGGCGGTATTGAGAGGAGTCCGACGAAGATCGAACGTAGATCTTTGTCGGGTGGGGGGGACTGCTCGATGTACTCGAAAGAGACACTTAGCAGTGAGAGAAATGCCGCGTCGTGCTAGCGATGGATGTCCAAGGCCGATGGAGTCGGTGTGTCGGTTGGGTGAGAGGGATGGTGACACGAGCCCTTACTGACTGCGAATAGCCATCAAGGGTTTAAATCGCGACGAGGGGAGAAACAAGACGTCTAGAGATCGAGTCGATGAAAGAGGCGCAGTCGTATCGCTAGTTGATGGCTAAAGGACCCAGCGGGAGATATGTATCTTGGGCGGGGGAAGAGATGCAGTGATGGCTGACTCGGGAAAAGGATGCTTGAACAGATAGAAAGGTCGTCGAGGGCGTCAGAGGAGTTCTAAGGGCCGCGATAGACGGGACGAAGAAAGGTGTGCAAATGGAAAGCCGCAGCTCTATCCTGTTTGGTGAATGGTCAGCGAGAATACCCAGGAAATCAAAAAACTTTGACTGTCTGTGCCTGAGTCTGATACACAAGCTTCGTCGAATGATGCGTCAAATAGTGGCGGGCCGGTATTAAAGTGAGGAAATGCTGGGAGGCGACGTAGGCGACAGCGACAGAGAAGGGGGTCCCCTGTGGTCAACCAATGCAGTGGCCATTGTGTAGCTCCAGCACACCCAGCATGGAGGAAACATTTGCTGCTGCTTGGATGTGGCCGTTTGGGACTGTAGGGCTTGGAGCCAAGGGCTGGCCGTCGACAGTGGCCGATTCGATCGGAGCACATGGGCGGAACGTCTCGAGACCATACCGAAGGCATGCCTCCTGTCGATACCGCTCGTGAAATTTGTTCGAATTTCGAGGGCGAATAATTGGACGAAGCTCGTGTACCAGGCTCTCCGGGGTGGCTCTGGACGAATTGGGGTTCGCAGTGTTGGGAATGTAGCTTACCTTGAGGAAGGGGACCGTAAACAGGTGTATGAAGTCGAAAAGGACGGTGTAACTTGGAGGTGTTCCAAGTGTCGAGCAGCAGACGCGATCAAGTCTACTCGATTTGTGATGTTCTTGCTCAGTGTCGTGCACCTAAAACGTAGTCGGCCTGTATGGGAGTGGCAGGCGGGCGGTTGTTGTAGAGAGGCGGCAATCGAATTCGACAATATCGTGCAGAGGCAGAGAGGAGGGATGAGAACCTGAATCCTGGGTTGTCGACGACTTTGGATGGAAATATCGTGCAGAGTCGAGGACAGGGAATTTCGTCGTGATACGGCGGATTCGGAGGTTTGGGAAGAGAAAAAGGTTTCGGGGAGGAGAGAGAAGGAGGAATAAAGTCGGACAAGAAGAATCTCAAGAAGTGAGAATGGGTGGGACGGGTTGGGATGGATGGGATGGAGATGGGGAGAGTGAAATGGGGACGGGGGTGAGGATGTAAAGTGGAGAGAGGAATGATGGCGGCGTGCGTGTGAATGGAGGCGAGAGAGGGCGAAGTTGAGTGAGGGAAGGGTGGAAGGGGTGGTGGAAGGGGCGGTAGCAGCCCAGTAGTCGGGTGGTCTACAGAGTGCGGATAGGTACCTCAAGACCCAGGGCTCAGGTAGCTCAGACGAGTCCGGTACCTGGCCGTGGTACCTTGTTCCTTGGGAAGAGACCGGTACCTGTGCGGCAAAAAGCCGGTAACGGGTACTTTGAGGGGCTAGGAAGGAGGACCAAGAGGACGGGGTGACAGTGACGGAGTGGACAGCCCGGCAGCAAAGTGGATACCCATCGGTTCCATACTCTGTGCGGTGCACCTCAGTCAGTGTACGAAGTACCTCCAGCAAAGTATCTCAATACTTCCCTACCGTCGTGAAGGAACCAGCCCAGAAGAACAGGAGCGGACCTGGAGGGAATTGGAAAAAAAAAAACTCACACGCTGCAGCAAGCACCACCCACCTTTTCTGGACACTAGGTGAATTGAGGAATAGAACATCGTGTCGGTTGACGGTTCAGTAATATTTCGCAGGTATCGTTTGCTGACATTACGCAGTAGGTATCATGTATTCTGTCCACACCAGAGGTCCCAAGCGCAGCTTGTCCAGTTTGGATGTACACCTCAGAGATACAAGACGAGACGAGACGGGGAGGGGATTAAAAGTGTTCAGCTGGCAGCACAGAGTACTTGAGGCAAGAGTATGGAGTAGAACGGGGCATCTTTAGGTACTCTGATACGGGCACCTCAACACAGGAATGACCGCTTGTGAGCAGCAGTGTTCGGATAGTGTACGGATAGGTATGTACTCCATACCTACGTCTCGCTGCTCGTGGGATGGGCAGTGCCATGTCTGAATGGCTCTAGGGACCCCTCGCCGTCTAGACTGTGACGAGTACTTCGTGGACAACAGAGCAATGGGGGATACATTGGCAACGGGGATGAAGGCGCACGGGAAGAGTGGTGCTACAAGCAAGAGAATGACTGGCAACTGCCCCATGGCACCCCCGGCTCACTTCGGTGGTGAGAGCCAGACACGGAATTACATGGTGCATTGGAATTACAAGCTCGAGGACAGTATAGAAAAAATGCGTGCAGCAAAAATTAAAATAAAAACATGATGGATGATCAAATGAGAAAAGGAAGCAAAAAAAAACATGGGCGGGTCTTGGACTGGATCGAACGTGGAGACGACAGGGTGACTGGCTCCGACGGGACCACGACGCTAAAAGAAGGTACGGAGGTACTTCGTCATCGGGACAAGCGAGGGATCGATACGTACCTCCCGACCCCCGTTTTAGGACACCTAGAAAGGGTGGCACCGGATGATTGAGGACGAGTGTGGGTTTCAATCTTCAGATTGGACGTCAAAGAGGGAAGGGGACACTCTTGCTCCCGGCTCCACTCTCACCTTCCATGAGTCTACGACACGACACCGCTCCTGCTGCGAAGCAACCGGGGGGGGGGCCACGCTGTAGGGGGAAGGAACTGGGCATCGACCAGTCATTGGCCGTTATTTGGTGATAGTCCAGAGAAAGTGCTGCTGGGTGGGTGGACCACTGGACTGCCAACCGCCATCATACACCTCACGCACTCACTTCCATTTTGATGCATGGATGGATTTCACTTGCGTTCACCACTTTTTGAGTATGTTTGTGTTGAAGTGTTGAACTTGGATCAAGGTGGTGGTGGTGTTGGATGAGTGAACTCTGCTGTCTGAGGCAGCAACATAATTGGCCTCTTCCAGCATAAGATTTCCGATGCTGCACATTTGTCTCTGCCTTTCATTAGCCTTCTCATTCGTGGAAGGAGGGCAGTCGGGTTGAAATGCCTCAGGGCAGCCACAATGACATGACTAGGACAGCAACATGTTGCAGGTGTATCCGTGCCTTGGATGCAGGTGCAGGTGCAAGGGCCACTTGCAACTTGTGGCAGGGACTCATCTATGGCTTAACAATAATGAGGCAGGCGCGGGAGAGAACAGGACGGACTACAGGAGACGTAGGCGGCAAAAAGGGCAGGAAGGAGGGAGAGACCACCTTCGAGACAGTCGAGGCAGCGCAGGAAGCAGTAGCCCGAAGGCAGGAAGGACCGAAGGAGGAGGAGCCACTGGCCAGGACTCAGGACTCAGGACTCAGGAGGGCGGTACGGGAGACAGGAGGCAGGGGGTGGGCCACACCTGCAGCATCGCACCTGCCCTGCACCTGCCTGCACCTCACTCCTGGCACTCATACATTGCAGGAGCGCTGGCCGGTGTCTGGCCCTCCTGCCTCCCGCTGCTCCTGCCTCCCTCTGCTCCCACGCTCCTTCCTGCTCCTGGGCCGGTTGGCTGGTTGGCTCCTGCTCTGTTGTTATTATGCCTGGCTGCTGGATGGCTGGCTGCCACCCTCCTTCAAACCTGACCTTCCTGGCCAGTCTTGCCTGACTACTTCCTCCAATCAAAGCGGACCGTGTGGGGTCCAGAGCACTGCCTGGGGTGGCACGTCTGAATGGCCCGAAGTTGGTGGTGTCTCTTGAGTAAAACTAACGCTAAAACACAACCACGGCACAGAGCAGCCAAAAGTTCGAATCTCTCGTCATGGAAATGGAAGAATATGAACAATTCGGTGGTGTACCTACCAGAAAGACCGGCACAGCGAGAGAGGTGAGACCGGCTTTGACAGGAGACGCTACGCTGTATCCGTATCATTGACTGCCTTCTTGCAAGCCACCAATCACTTAACAGTACAAATCTCGAGTCCTCTCCCTATCACGTCGTGGGATCAATCAAGACGCGGAGACTGCAGCAAAGTCGAGAGCATGGCATGCACGTGAGAGAACCAATGGCAATGAGAAAAAGCAAAGCTGACTGGCAGATAGGCTTCATCCACAAGGAAACAATGACTGCTCACAATACCTACCATCAGTGGCAGCTTCAATCTGATTTCCATAGCCATCCGTCGTCCGGCACACGAGCACAAGTGACGACTAATGACAATCAATCAATAGTCTGCCGTATCTGCATCTGGTCTACCTGACGACGAAGCAACTTGCCACGGCGACGACGTCGTCTACGGAGTACATAGTACGCATAACACAGTTGTCGAACATACACCAAGGCATCCGTATCATCTTGAATCATCCCGAGTCTCCCTTCCCATTTCTATGCGGATCGAGTAACCAGCACAACCCTCACACCCCCGGGTGCGCCATAGAAACAAAAGCCAACAGGTCATTCGGCGCGCAAGAAAAAAAAAGTCGTTAATGGCGGTTCGGCTCTAGCGTTCCCTGAGAATGGGATGACCCAGTCTCGCAGGGCTTCTAGATGTACTACAGAGTACTGGGCTAGCCTTGTGCAATTTATGCCAGTCGCCTGTACCTTGCATATGGGTCAAGGAGGCTGGGATGTCGCGGCTATAGCAGGTACTCGTATCAACAAGACGCACCGAGGCAACCTGTGAGGCACCTTTTTCCCCCTCCGCTAGCACCGACAAGCATCATCTCTTTGGCTTGACCGCTGACCGCCTTGGTCGCAGCTCTCGGCACCTCTGAGATTCTCTGGGTCTAACCAGTGACGATTCCCGCGACCCCCTTTGGCGGCTGCTTCGCCCTGGTCCTCATCTTCCACATACACACTCCATCCCTGAGAGCGAACTGGGCAGCCCAGCCTATGGCCATAAGCCCGACAGAGGACTAGTCTTTTCGATAGCAATTACGGACACCTAGCAACAAGCATCCATACTCAAGCAGTTTGGTTTCGCAGTCATCCACAGTACACATGCAGCTGCCCCAAGGGCAAGGGCAGGGCAGGCAAGCACCAATGTGACACTGGGCACTCTCTGCTCTCTGCGTCTCTGCCGTGGGCTCTCCGTGACTCCGTCTCTTGCCTCTGGGCAATGGCCTTTTCTTAATTCGGGGTTCGGCGAATGGGAGTTTAGAGCCCATCACACTTGGTCTGCAATTCCGACTGCAATGGGCAAGGACAGTCTGAGTCGGTGGACTGTGCCCATCATCCGATCTGCTGGGTGATCTCTGCGGCCTGGTCGCCGCCCGAGGGTCACAAAGACGGGCAGCACACAGTTTGTCCTTCTTAGAGTGCGAGTCTGAGCTTGCGCCTATCGTCCCCAGCCAAAATCACCCCCCAGCCCGGTAGCCCGGGCTCCCAGTTTGCTGGGCAGGCTATGACGACGGCAGGGCACCCACTCACAAATCACCGTCACCATACCGACCACTAACGCATTGAACGACCAGCGCCTGGCGGATATTGGCCGTGGTGAGGCGTTGAGAGGTCTCGCTCCTTGTGCCTCGCATTTGCCTCACCTTCGGCCCATTGCTACGGTTCTCATCGCCAGGCCCGCCCGGGATGAGATGGATCATGGATGGGATCAACGCTGATCTCGACACGTTGGAAACACCACCGGTGACTCGTAAGCGAGGCAAGGCCAGCTGTTCGTATGTATTCGTACAACCATCTTCATCTTTGCGGCTTGCCACGGGAGCATGGCCTCCGGCACCACCTATTTTGACCAGAGTACGCAGTGTTCCCGTTGCAGAGTCACATCCGTATTGCCTTAGCTAAGCCGCACCGAGCGTTGAGGATGCGACATCCAGTGCGACGCGCAGTCAATTGTTCGTATATCCAGTTGGCTTCATCGAGACGAGGCTGCCTCTTGATTTCATTAATGAGTACCTATCTCAAACTCCATCCCGCTACCCTGATCAACATTTTCCAGCAAACGTGGCAGGCAATTCCTAAACCTCTTCGGGCCACGCGGTCGAAACCTTGTCAAAAAGTACGGATGTTCGTACCAAAACATAATACGTATTTCCAATTTCACTGCACCAAGATTCATTCCTGCAGCTCATCAGTGACCACCAGTGTCACCGTCCATTCGTCAATATAGCGGTGGCTTGCCAGGAGCCCAGGACCTAGCCAAACGCGGCATTTTCACCTTTGGCATTATCGTCTCTACCCGCCGCAAGGCCCAGCAAAAACAAAGCTGTACGGATACGTACTGCAAATATGAGCATACTGCATTTTCATCTCCTGCCGACTTGGAAGTTGGATGAGATTGCAGCGGAGGAAGAGAAATACCGCACACTCCACTCTCCGAGGCACCGTCCCAGATACAGTGCCCAGATGCCTCTCTCAATTCAGTTCTGTCATCTAGACTAGCAGCACCCCCGAGGGTAATCTAGAGCAGAAAGGGTCCACCGGCCAAACATGACTGGCACACAGGAAACAATTCCACACTCTCTGAAGTCTGGACGGCTAGCTGTGTGTCCGGATAATGGTTCTCCTACGCGCTTCACACACAAACCAAACATTATCAGGCGCGTTGCTTTCAACTCTCTCGTTGTCTCGGATCACGGCTCACCTCCGGCAGGGAAGTTGTGTTCCCTCCTAGACTTCTGCCACTGCAATTCAAACATGTGCTCTTCAGCCTACGGGTATTCATACAGGCTTTGAAAGCGGATACAAAGTGCTGGTCTAGGAATCCTCCACCTACGCCAGGCGCACTGCAATCTGGAGGAAGAGCTCATAATGCAGAGATCCTAGTGGACTTTCGCCTTCACGGTTCGCGAGTAGCTGCGACGCGCTCGGTGCTCTCGTGGCCCGTCAAGAGTTCTCAAACCATGTCTGGCCCTCGCCACTCAGTCAATTCAGGGGTCAGAAGGCTGGATCATCCGTGCCAACGCAGTACGGATACTAATTACCAGGAATCAAGAATTCGTAATCCACTCAGGTGAGATCCGGGCACGCATCCAGGGCCATCGCTGTCATGCAGCCAACAAACCATCCATCCAGCTTTCCAAGTTCATGGTTTTCAGCAACGACGACCTCGAAGCACATGTCTTGGGCACCAAGCCTAGAGCGATAGTCAACAGCGTCGCATCACCAGCAAGTCAACGCGCGCCGTGGTCGCAAGTGAGACCTGTCTTCTCAGTTGCATGAACCGGCATTGCTACCTCACACGCGGCACGATACTGTTGACAGAAGCAAGATATCATCAATCATAACCTGGCAAGGCATCGAGGCATCGCTATCGAAATGAGAAAGCCTCCCGGCCCTGCGTCCTGGTTGCCGCTGGAGACAATGCCAATCCCCCGGATATGAGCAGGCTGCATGGCTTGGAGAATTCAAATCTCGACCCTGTGATTGGACAACCTTACAAACTCTTGGACGGTCTGCATGACCAACCATGCGCTACAATGTCCACGAATGTCTAGCCCTACGTTCAAACGGCGCTCACCGTTGTATCAATGGGAAAAGAGGAAGTAACCCTTTCGAAACGGTGGGATATTGTTGTGATGTACGGATATTAATCCCTAGTACACTATCCGTACGTCGTGGTAATTCGGCTAGACAGCATGTTTTGAGGCCGTTGCCATAGGTTGATGGCGAGCCATACTCAGCCATGACTTCTTATGTTCCCATCATCGGTGATGCAACCTTCATTGTCCTTCGAAAGGGCTCGATACCCGCAAATCAGTCTACAAACAAAAAGAACTTGGAAGTTGGACGGGATTCATTCATCGCGAGTCAGGGTGAAGCTGACCCGCTGCTCGAGAAGCAAAATGTTGGCTCAGTCTTTGGAGACTCGGTGTAGGGAGTGCGGCCGCTCTGATATTTGACCTATCAGACGCCTTCATTATCACCAGTTCAACACCGACCGGTAGACCCGGCTATACGCATCTACACACCCAGGGGTGCAGCTGGCCAAGGACACAGTGCATCTTCTTTCCATCATGGTTCTTTCGGCTTAGCGGTGCCCCCTTGAACAGGGTGTTGAAGGCGGTGCCTCGTGTTAACCACACGCGTGGACCGCCGCAAGTTCGCAACCCTGGGGGGATTCCTGGCACGCTGGCAAAGAATCTCCAGACCCCATCAACATGCAGGACGTGATACAACGAGAAATTCTCAGGCTCAGCCACCTGACGGGAATACTTTCGCGAGGGGAAGGCGCTGGCGATCTGAAATGCCCTTCTAAGTCAACAGTGTCCAGCACCTGAGGTGGTCGACCCATCCAGCTGAGTCCGATCCGCTGTGTAAGTCATTCGTCGGGAAAAATTCGCGGTCCTACCGTCAACACAGTCTGAGGAAATCCACAACAAGCGCGCCAGCGACCCAGGCCCTCCGGGTCTGCCATTGCCAGGCCCAAACTGGTTCTCCTGGTTTGGCAGGCGGCTGGCCATCACTGACATACTGCGTACGGAGAGTGACACCCAATTAAGGCTCCCCTTGCACCGCCGCGCCTGTTCTATGAATATCTCGGGCTTTCAACCGCGCCGACACTTGACCACGACGCTATGAGATACTAGGGGTTTTGCCTTGGACCCTGAAAACCAAGTCTCAACACGGAATGACAGCCGGTCTCCCTTGGTCTCTTCCAAGGAAAGGTTCAGACTCCACGCCGAACTCTACGGGCAGTCGAGTTGACAACTCATCCGCTACGAATGATCATCTGGTGGGAAGACAAAGCACTAGGGAGTCAGAGTGGTGTATCAGGAAACCAGTCACCCAGTCTCCGGCGAGTAGTCGTCACTCGTTTGGTGTCACTAGGTTCCAGACCCGAAGATCGGGTGGGATTTCATCACGCCAATACCAACAAACCGCGCCGAATTTTATCGACGGCCCACAGACGCAGAGAAGACCCAAAGGCTAAAGTGGTCTTTCTCCAAACTTGTCGTACCTGTCGTGCCTGTCCAAGGGTCCAACTCCACCATCCGTCTCTAGCGGGTGGCAGGGCACGAGGGCCCCATCATGTGGATGCTCGACCTGGGCCAGCCGAAAAGCTATCGATTTGACCTTTTTTTCCTTTTCTGGGACTATCTTTGCAGTCCCGTCCTGGTTTCTCGATGGTTCCCCTCTTTTTTGAGAGGGCACAAGCCAACCTCTACAGGATTACCTGCAGAATGGGGCTTTTGGGCATCTTCACCGCAACTAGGTTCGAGGGGAACCCGGGCTGGACATGGCGAGAGCTCCAGAATCCAACCCGATCAGATGCCCCTCGCGGTCAGGACCCGTTGCGATACCACGTACTCTGCATTTGTACAGACGATGAAGGCTCCTGATCTCATTCTGTACGTGTGCATTTCCAATATGGTCCATTGCACACCAAGGACAAGGCAACCGCAGTTGCCGATGGCACCCTGACGCGGAGATGGCCATAGGAAGGCCCCCACACGACGCTCAACAGAGTGACAGGCGACAGCATCAAAGTCTCCAGATCGAGTTGTTAGTATTTGGCCAGCTTGAATCAGGGACAGCCGTCTGGGACGTTGTCGATGTCAAAACTTGCCCAGACTTTCCGCTAGTCCTTGCTAAAAATGCACGTCGACGAGAATTTTTCAGGGTACAACGTCAGGCTCCAGGCCGTTGTCACAATTTTCGGACTCTGTGGGCTGATCACGGTTCAACTCGTCATGGTTGGCGAGCGATCTTCTCACGTTTATCCGCTTCTCGACCAGATCTGCTCTAAGGACGCCGAAGAAGGGCCTGTTGTCCGCTGCTGCTTTGACCAAGACCAATGACGAGGTCTGCCGGGCGCAACGTCTGCTCTGTCATGAAGTCTCCAATGTCTGCCATCGCCCGCGTTCTCGCCCTCTTCCAGGCTCCTGAGTACCGAGTCCCAGAGCCTAGAGGCCTGAAATGCGCCGTCTCCCAAGTTTGTCCCGGCACATCGTCAGTTTGCTGCTACACTGGTTTAGCACCAACCTTCGCGTGCCTGTCCCCCTCCAGCCGCCCAGCCCAGCGAAGTGACCAGTGTACGAACGGGCGGGCCTGGCGTGACTGTATGATTCGACCGTCTGGCAAGGTACCAAGGCAGCGGCATGTCTGCATACGAGGCCCGGCTACCTGACAGTACATCCGACGCCGACGGTTCCGCGTTGCTAGACGTATCGATCGATCCTCGTTAGGCAGAGGTCATTTACTAATGTCACCATGTCTTACCGTCTACAAAACATCTCCTTCGATACCAGCTTCAGGCGGTGTGGGGATGTTGTAGTGTACTCTCTGATGTTCGCGGGTATCGACATTCAGAAGGCGCCTCGTGGAAGTTGAGGTTGCTTTGCTGACAGCATCGTCGTGTCCACAGTCGGATCTCATAACTAGATTACCAGACATTTGAACCCATCTCGCCGTGCACATCGGCGGCAGTGCAGACGTACTGACGCATCTGCATGTCAAGCGATCGTTGCCCAACCTGCCACCTGTGTACGGACAGTGGCCGTGGCAAGAAACGGTCTTTAGACTGCGGCAGTGCCGAGGGCAACGCAAGTTTGAGCATCGTGACCCAGCTGCCTAGGTGGAAAGTCGAATAGCAAAGAAACCGCTCAACCTGACCGATAGTCGAACGACTTGTAACCTTTCTCCTCGCAAACCCCGCAAACGAACCTGGAACTACTCCGTACGGGACTTTGGGGTGCCATCTAAGTCTTCAAACTTCGACGCCCCCTTGGACTACCAACCTCTCCCCCCTGCCACAGAACATCACAGCTCTTGGCGTTGAAAGAACAGGGCCTATTGCTTAGAAATGCCTTATTAGCGACGATTGGCGACCGTTGACTGGCCGGGTATCTGGAAACCGGTGGAGCGGACGGCGTGCACCGCTGTCCCAGTGGAGATATTCGAGAGGAAAATGCCGCGATTCTGCGAGTCTGTGAAGCCGCCAGTGTTGCAGCCCACTGCACTGAGCCTGGGTCACGAATGGCTGTGGCCAATCTGCAAGCGATCCCCCGATGGACGAACGCCGCGACGGCGCCTGGGACGGAGGAACCATACAAATGGCCTTGAGAGTCGAAGGGAGGAGTCGAAAGCATGTCATGGACGGGTCCCGGGAGGAGCTTTCGGCCCCAAGCCGCCCGCCTCTGCTCCGCACGACCACTCTCAATCGGGACCAGCAGGCGTTCGGCGGATACGCATCACAATTCACCACCCATCCATCACACTCATCGATGCTTTGGTGCAACCCTCTTGACGTAGTGTTAGTCGCCACGCTCACAGCCCAGCCCGTGACCGATGACCCTCCCTATCCGCCGTCAAAGAAACCCCCCGAATCGGCTCGTCCTCCATCCCCCGAGTTCCACTCCACACACACACACACACACAAACAAACGCATACGGATACACCATTACTAAGAGAAGGAGGAGGAGTGGCAGGGAGGCGCAATGACTAAGAAGTGCAGGCAAGGGAGTCACGGAGGGTCAGCCAAGGCTTCCAGAGTCAATCGACAACGTGCTAGAAGATGCACGTTATGTCTTGTTCAACGCCCGCCGTCATCTACGGTACATCGACGGCCTGGCTGCGTGACCCCCAACTTCCGAAGCTCGTTTTTGAAGCTGGATCTGCTACTACGGTTCACCCAACCACTACCTTACTATACGTAGTGACAAGGGATCTTTTCGACAAAGGCCTCGTCCGGCCTGTCGCCCTACCTATGTCATGCCGGCCGCCGGAGGAAGGTTCATCAGCCGAATATAGCCCCCGCCGTCGATGACTGAGTGTCTAGCAGACTCGGTCTCAAGCCTCGTCTCGGAGGTATTGGCCCCCAGACCCAGGGAAGACGCGCTTGCTAGAGTGCTTGCAGTAGTGGTGCCCTGCCCTTGAGCGGAAGAAAGCGGTAGCGACGGACGGAGAAGAGTCGCGCGGTCCCTTACCTATTCCTGGCTGTCTGTCTTGGAAGATGCGTCTGCAGGATGCGATGGGTTAATATTCGGAACTATGCAGGTGAGTTTCTTACCTCCCCTCGGCCACATGCATTGAGACGGCAAGCCATTCTTGCGGACAACTTGGCTAGCATCCAGACAATATCGCGCACCCGTTTACCAACGGGAACATTATCAGACCCTCTGTGCCGCAGGCATTTCAGCCGTTCCGCTCCGTCTTCAATCCCACGGCCTGCGATCCTGACCTCGCATCTCACACACACACACACACACACACACACACACACCGCCCAGACGCGCGAACACCCAGTCGTCATCACCATCATGTTGATCCGCCCGCCTGCCCATATCACTCAAGTGCTTACTACACGTTCCCGTCGAGAGATGTGCGATTGTTTGCTACCTTCAGGCGAACACGCACTGGGGCAGTGGCCTCAACATCGCATTGCCTACCCCGGACCGGACGGATCTAGGAGTCGTGACTCCCACCCAGCGTATCCGGACGGACCGCCGTTGACTAGTCGGTGATCTGACGATCTGCCCCCGAGAGTTTGTTGCAGCCACCGTGAACTTGCCCATCAATCATGCCTCACTTTTGTTTGCCTCCCGTCGAAAAGGGAAAGGCAAAGCAGAAAGCAGCCCACTAGTCGGCAGATTGTCAGCCACGCTTCGTTTTTTTGAACACATTGCGCCAGACGCAAAACGGCTATGCGCGTGGCGTCCGTTCGTACCGACAAGGCCGTACCGCATATCTGGCTTCCTTTGGATTCGCGATTCGGCCGGATAGCGGTAGACGGCACATGCAACTTGTCCACGTTGTGACCTGCTGGTAAGAGGTAGCGGGCTTTGCAAGCGGTGAGAAAGGGCATGGCGCGACTTAGACATACATGTCTGCCTACCGTCTTATGCCAGTACTCTCTCGTTCAGCTCACTCTGTGAGGGCTGACACTCGTCACGACTTTGCTCTTTACGGACACACTTGTCTCGGCAATCGCAGGCAAACACTTCTACTAGGCCAAGAGTGTCTCTCATCTTTCCCCAGAGAGAGGGAGACGTCAACCCAGGCTTGCAAGGCTGCAGCCAACGGTTGCTCCTGGGTTCGATCGTTAGTGACTGCCGACCGACTCACTATACTAATCCTTTTGCCCTGCCCTTGCCCTGCCCTTGCCCCCCTCTGCGCCGCGTCCTGCAGCGGTGGTCAGCGCCGGGCCAGGCAAGCTTCAAAGTTCAAGGCGCGTGATCTTGCTTTGCACACCACTTACAAGCAGCACACACGCAACCCACGCACTCACGCTCACGCACGCTGGACCGACGGAACGGGCTGGACGCACGTAGACGCAGTGGACGGGACGGTGGGTATTTTATTTCGGGTGTGCTGAGTCTCGTGCTTTTTCTGGTTGGGTGGTTGTTGTCTGGGTTGGGACTTGGTCGGGACGGCGGCTCGAGCCCGTCCATGGCGGCCTGTGGCTGTTGCTGCATCCATGTTGGCTGTTTGCTGGTCACTGGTGTGGCATCACACCCACTCTCATTGATCCCACCACCAGTCCACCACATCCTAAAGCTCCCCCATGCCGGATCGTGCCGTTGGGCTGGGTTGAACGACCGGTCACGTTTTCTGCGGTTGGACTGGCCTTGAAAGGTAAGGGTGGGTGACTAATCCGTGAAAAGGGTGGTGTCGCCAGTATCCCAGTCATTGCTGGCCTTGACTACACTAGCTCTTCGGGCTCAAGCTTTGCTCTCGATCAAGGCATTTTTCTACAGAGTGTCATGGAGGTGCAAGAGGATCGAGTGCTGGCCGCTCCCTTACCCCTGCTATACCGTAGAACTTAGCAGAAGCATGGCGCAGAAGTAAAAGCAGGAGCGGCTCTACTGCAACGCACTGTCCGGAGATCTATTATGAGATCTCATGGACATACTGACTTCTGGACTGATGGCTGACCCGATGCCCAGTCGATCGTACTCCGTAGTCAAGGGTGTTTCAGTGCACGCATCATACCTTGAATATATTCATAGTTGTATCTTCGAAAGTGAAAGACAGTTCTTTGTCGTGTTCGAAGCGTTTCGCTCCCAGTTTCTCTCACTCACAAGAAACGAAAGCTCGTCGAGCGATCGATCCAAGGAACTCATAAACGTAAAAGTCGATGGGATGAGCAAAAGGTTAGCCAGCAGCGACTCTACCAAGTGATGTCATGTTCCCAGGGGCAAGCAAACCCACGGACAGAGGGAAGGGACAAGGCTACGATAAGCTTTTTCAAAGCCTAGTTTGATGTCACTGACTTGCTTGGGTTGCTCATATTTGGTGGTACGATGGATGGAGTGTGTCTTCTGGGGTGCCTGTTGGGTGGCCTGTTTTGATGCTGCGATTTCGCTACATTGCATATGCCCTTTCTTCGGATGAGAAATCTCGTGAGTCTGTGGTCGTTGTCTGTATAGTTATTTTGGTTTGTCGGGTTTTGGATGGGCCTGGCTGAGTGTGTGTGTGGGTGTTTGTATGTGTGGTTTGATGTAGCTTTGACCTGGGGAGTTTTCTTGCTTGATGTCTGTGGTGACGGCCCGAGATGTCGCCGCTGCCGCCCGCCATCACCTCTCCTCATTCTTGGAGACGGCCCAGAGATGTGGGAGGGCCTTTGGCGAGGGGATGGTACGGATGTGAGGAAAGTTTGAGGAAGCTATGGGCAAGTCAGCGTCGGAGGATTTTTATATGATGATTGTGGTTGGGTGAGGGTGAGAGAGAGGAGAAGGGTTTGGTAAGGGACGTTGAGGCGCACGGATGGCTGCCCGGGTTATATGACGTCTGTGGGTTTGATTGAATGGCAATGGGAACGAGAAGGGAGAGGCTTGTAATGGGTTTTCATGTGAGAGGTGTCGAGAAAGTGTTTTGAGGTTTCGGGGTGTTGTGGGATTAGGATATTGTAGTGGAGTGATGTTGCGAGGCTGGAAGGTCCAGTCTGTTTTGTTGACTTTGGAAGACTTGTATTGACATCAATCTTTGATTTAGTTCTGCTTTCGAAGTGTCGTCCATCGGTGTTGGAAACAAATGCGTCCTGATTCAGTTCGTGGTAGACCGGGAAGGACGACATCTCGAGATATATGGCATCCGTCACAAGGCTGAGGCTCAACAAAAGTCAAAGACGATGGGTACGGTCTCCTGATCTAAAAAGGCAAGAGATACCAACAACTGGCTGTCTACTCTTGTATTTCTAAACAGGGGCCGTCGTAGCGAGTATATATCGAGGCCTTGAGTCTGTAATATTCCGTTCGGGAAGCCAGTCAACCGGGAGAATGATTCGGGTCCGTCAGGTTGTTCACAGAGCTAGCCTGGAAGTGGTGCTGAAGCCGGCACCTGATCGGGCTCTGGTTCATACCGTTCTCGAAACCTGTCTGCCTTTATGTCCAAAAGCCATAAACTGTGGGTTCTATCTCACGCCGCCCGTTCGTGCTCGTTCCCTATTCGTGAGGCTGGTGTGACGAATACGGGGAGGGAGGTGAACGGGCGCTATGGACGTGGTGTGAAGACTATCTTTACGGATATGGGAAGGGATGTAAACGAGCGTTCAGGCTGTGGTGTAAAAATTATCTTGACGAATACAGGGAGGGAGGTGAACGGGCGTTGAGGACATGGCGTGAAGATTGTCTTTGTAGGTTTAGATGTAAATATGAGTGGTCGTTACTGGCAGATAGATGTCCAAGGGAACGAGCAATATTAGCAAAGACAAAGACCTTTAATCCATCGCAAGAAGACGCCAAATATTGGATTTTATTAGAGAACCTTAGCTTAATTGTCATAGACTGCTTTATGTAGGTATAGACTTGTCACTTATCAAGTGCAAGGTCCCTGAGATGAACAACCAGAGCTATTCGCCCAGAGTCACTATTTTATACCCTATGTTAACGTGGTAGACAATTTTTTCTGTCGATTTGCTGGGGCAGACCTACATTGACATGTTTCTAGGTCAGTCATAGATGCAATTATGAGTCTTATAGACAGTAAATACTCCCGTTGGTCGTATTTGCATCGATAGGTGACACTGTAACACTTCAATAGAAATGCCGTTCTGCCTTCTTCCTCTTCCCGGATCGTTCAAGCACTACTATGGCCCTGAACATCTATAACAGCTCCTTAGAAGAGGCTAACCATTTAACTCGATGAATCCCCTTGAGTCACACGATGGACTTTCAACTTTGCTACTCCGAACTCGTCGATTGTGTAGTTGAGACTAGCAGACGTATTCCCCGAATCGGTGATTCGCAAACTGCTCAGAGTCATTCCATGTGACATGACGTGGCATCTGAGTCGTTTGTAATCATTCCCAGGCTTACCCCCTCGCCCTCACCCATGACTGTGCTGTGGAGGACGTGACCTTGACGCTTCGTTCGTTATTTTCATCACTGCTTCGTAGAGAAACTTGTCATTCTCGCCAAAGACCTCGGCGAGCTTATTGAAACAACCAAGCCCGACTTTCTTCGCCTCTTCTAGGCATAGAGTAGTCTGCTCATGGTGAAATTCTGGGAAAAGAATGACGAGTTTGTCCAAGAGAGTGCGAATGGAGTCGACTAACCCGTCGAACTCGGACTTGCGATAGATGGTCCACTGAGCTTGAGCCACGGCCCCGCCCTCCTGTCGTTCAGAAGGAGGGACCTTCTTTCGTCGATGATTTGTGACCTTGCGGATGCTCAACACAAGCCTCTTTATGATTTGGTCTGCCTCCTGCATCTCGGCATCCTGGTCGAGAAACTGGAGGTTCTCGGACGCCTCGTCATCGTCCTCGTGGAGCTCCTTGAACTGCTCTGAGATCCTCTTGGCGTTTTGAAATGCCGCCCGGATCATGTTTAACCATTTCTCCGCCTTTTTGATGTCGTCATCCTTCCACATACACTTGTCTTTGACTTTGCATTTGCCTTTGTTATACAGCTTCGGGCCATGGAACGTCGCGTCGAGGAAACACATGGACTTCCCCCACCGGTTGAGCTGCATGTACGCGCCGTCGAGGTTCGCTATGTAAAGTCCAAAGTTCTGCCGAAAAGCTGGCCCAAGTCGGACGCAATGGAAACATTCGATGCATTCTTTGAAGATACTAGGGATTTTGGCAATGGCCAGGGAAAATGGTATGAGCTCCATTCCACCAATCTGCGTGGATATATGTATGATGGCAGGTGGGCAAGTGTTGAGGAAGTAAAGTATGTAAAGATTCGCGGCAAGTCTCCAGGGGAATGATTACCATGGAGACTGATGAGGAGAGATACAGCAAGATGAGGTCGAGCTGTCCCGACAGGGGATCTAACTGGATGATATGGGCGAGTCACCTACGGGCCAGCGGAGCGAAGGCAACATCAAGAGAAAGCCGTTGGCTTACAAGACCAGGCCTGGAGATTAGACTATATGTAGACGCTGCAAAACTTGACTGAGGCATAAGGGGACATCCTCGAGGTGCCCGGCTGAAAATGCAGAACCACATCAGCATGATATATTGGCGCCAATCACCTCTCTTCCCGGACCAGGCAACCAATCGGGCCATGGAGAGAACAAGGAAGGACGCTTGTTGTCTCTATCTCATTCAAGCCACCCCATCGATATATAATTGGCGGTATATAGAAAAGGGCAGCAGAGACCGCTTGGCGGGCGAGTGGTTGGTTGATTGAGAACTTCGGCGCCGGCCAAAAGAGGGGTCGAGTGCCCTTCGCTAAGTAAACAGCCTCACGCAAGAGTAATTCTCAGCCACCGAATGCTGGACAACACTACCCATACATGATGCATGTCAGCAGAACCAAAATGTCGAGTGAGGTTGGTGTTTGAGCACTGGTCGATGCGAGCTTTGACCAGGGTGGTGAGATTGATCTTTTGAACCTCGAACATCCGAGTGGTCTGGGCCATACTTGAGTACTTATCTCACTCCTCGGGTTTTGAAGCTTCATAGTATACAGTGTTTTTCGCTTGCGTGTAGATAAAATAAATGCTAATTGTGAGGCAATGAGGTCCTCAGTTTCTACTCTAAATCACTCCATCCTTGGGGAGGGCATGGGTGATCTACAGGCTTAGATGAAACTTGAGGTTTACCTTCAAAGAACAATGTAGAACCCAAATCACGTAGATCATTCCCATGCCTCACCTATCCTCACGCCAACTCACACTCAATAAGCGACTCAGACCCCTCCCCCCTAGACCAGATCTTGACAATCCTCAACCCAGCAGCTCCTTCCAGCAACTGATACCACTCCTCCTCCGTCCTCTCCCTCGACGCAAAAACAGTCATCATAACCATATCGAGCGCCGTGACCTGCCAATCTGCGCCCTTGGAAGGTATAACGTTCTCGTTGATCAAGAGCCTACTATACCCTGCCCTCATCGCAGCTTTAACCCGCGCAAGAATACTCTCGCAGACCTCGTTCGTCCAGTCATGTAGTACCGAATGGAGATAATACGCCCTCGCCCCCTTGACTGGTTGCTCGGTATAGAAATCATACGGCATAAGCTCAATCTTGGGATCGAGGTCCTGGACTTGCGCCTGTGAGAGAACGTGTGGGAGGTCTTGTAGGATATGTCGACCCGGCGCGGCAGGTTGCTTGCGACAGAGTTCGTCTAGGTCGTGACCGATACCACCTCCAATGTCGACGATGAACGCCGCGTCCGGTGAGGTGGTATCTGCGCCGTTGACGAGGCGGTCGATGACCGGATAGAAATCGGGATCCATCCATAGTCTCCGTCCCTGGCCGTATCCCTTCATAAACTGTTGAAACTCGCCGGCGGGGTACTTTTCCATGATGTGCGTGAAGAAGTCCTTGTTGCTGCCGATGGCGTCTTGTAGAGGACCTATATCTGGTGTGATTTTCCGCCCGTTCTTCTTGAGATACGTGGGGAAGTTGCAAAACGTAGGCCATACGCCGCCGACTCTGGAAGGGACCGTTAGCTGCTAAGTCTCTCATGTTTGGTTGAATGATGAAAACCTACACGCAAGAGTATGCGCTGCCAATTATAGGAAGAGTAAGCGATTTTGAAAAGTTGTTCGTCTCGTACTCGTCAACGCCGGTCTCACGTAGGTATCCTGTCGACGCCAGATGTCGCATCGAGCGCGCCAGCAGGTCTTTGTCAAAGTCGAGCTCCGCAGCGAGCTGAGTTACAGCTTTTGGCCCTGGGTTTCTGGCCATGAATTTGAAGAGGCCCGACTCAACTCCGAACGCAATGGCGCAGCCGGTGGCCGGCTATGTATTGTAAGGTAACGAATTAGCAAGTTGTTCAGTGACAGTCTGCGGATAGCCGTGTACTACCTGTGCCCACAGTTGCTTTATCATGGTCTCTCTAGGCGTTTCTAGAGCCTGGACCAGTAGCCGAGCCTGCTTCAAGAGATCGAGCCGTTTCTGGTAATTGTCTGAAGAGAAGGATGCGCCCAAAGTGGCGATGTTGTTCAGCAAGGTTGTCACGTCTTTTGGGTTGCTGGGCTGAGTTGCCATGTCGACTGTGACGCCATGAGGAAGACTTTCCGGGACCGAGCCCATTGCGAGCAATTGAATGAACAGACTATAAGCGTTCGAAAGTATAAACAAGTTTGGAAATATCTGAGAACTTGGCCGCAATAATGTTGAGACTGGAAGGCGACATAGGCTATCGTAGATTGGTTCAGGGCGTCACTCCACGGACTTATACGCTGTGACATGAAGCCACATGTTCGCGGGACCTTCATGGAAACTCCAGTAAAGAACTTTTTATCCTTGATGGCCAAGAGTTTAAAGAGGGAAGTTCTCCGTTATGCTGCATACTCTCATCGATGCGTGCAAGGTTCTGCTGCAACTCTGCACCAACACATCTGTTGGTTCTGTAGTATGGCATCGGATCCACGCTCTCCCCAGCCACTTAGGGCTTAAATCTCCCGGAAACCTCCTCGCCAGTGCTTAAGCAGGGGAAGCCAGTCTCATTCCAGCAAATTGTGGCCCATCCCGAGTGCAAAGTTATGGAGGGGAAACACCGATGGCCTGATCCTAGGCTGTCTTGACCATGCATCTCCACAGCTTCATTGAGAAACTCCACTATGAAGGAACACAGGGAAGGATAACCTGGCGGAGAAGGAAGGCCGGTAGTTTGCATCAAGCATGTTGAAGATCCAGATGGCTCTGGTGATGATCCCATCTTTCTCGACAAAGATCTCATTTTCCTTGACAGTTGTAGACAATCAACCTACTGCTCAAATCTGAAAGCTGAATTGAATAAACTTCTGGGCCTTAAGGGCATCTGAAAGAACAGCAAGGTTAAGATCCCCAAGTCACTTGAACCTCAGAACGGGGCGAGTTCATTCGTCCAAGCGAGCTCACTATGCAAGTAAGCAGCCTTATGAAGAGCGCCGTAGATCTATGCAAGAGAGCTCTTAGACATTTAAAGGCAGTCCAGGAGCGGAAAATAGTACTTGTCATCAGTCGTAAATTGGGTAGACTTGCTCGTCCGACCCGAAGCATTCGTGCCATCATGCGAGCTCCCAGCCGGGATCATCCTCCATGAATCCTCTTATATCCAGAACTAGAACTCCTATACAAGTCGAATTTGACGGTCTTGATGCCGCTTCGTCTATCGCGCCTACCTCCTCTTGCCTCTCTTCCCTTACCTCCTATTCCTTATCTCTCGTGCCGTATTCTTCATATGTATTTACGAATACGGAACGGGTGCCCAGTATTAATGAGAGAAAGAACGATTAAAATACCTAGCAAGCACTCGTAGAGACGCCGTTCTCAATGTTGTATTGCACAAGCTCGCTGACATCTCCAAGGTAGTCGAGCTTGTCAGTGCTCATATCGAGCAACAAGCTGCCCGGACCTTCTGTTTTAAGTCTTTACCACCAGTCATGACGGCGTCTGCCGCCCTCAGAGAACTAGCAAATGAGCATGAGTATAGTGCAGCTAAAGTCTATATCGAGGGACTTTATCGCGCTATTGCGAAGCAGTTTTCCGATCTCTATGGCAAGGTGATCATCTAGGAACTTACCAAGCTGAAGAACGACTTAGAGAGTCTCGAGGTGGAGGGCACACCTAGCGACAGTGGAGCAAGCGAAGGATAGGAAGACGTTGAGATGAAGCACGCCGAGTCGGCATAGGATCGACAATGAGAAGGGGCATTACCCATCTGTCGATGAACGACGACAATTCATCTGGGCGACCGCACACTTATCAATTAACCAGCCAATATCTCTTCTGTCTTCGCGGCAGGCAGGCATTACTTGATCCGCCCCACCCCCCAAATATCCTCACGACTCAAAACCACAACAAAAACATCACCACATCGTCACAATTACCCATAAAAGCAAAAGATAACTCCTCGACGGGGAATTGAACCCCGGTCCCCTGCGAATCGTTGTATGGAAATAATTCCTCAATGACAAGCAGATATCCTCACCACTAGACTATCGGGGAAGTGTGGATGTTGACATCCAGTGATAGTTGGTTGACGGTCGAGACCCGCTGAGGGTATATAAACCCACAGATGGATCTTTCATAATTAGATGGGTGGGTAGATTAGTGTGTCGGCTAATACAAACCTGCCCCTCTTCCTATTATGACAATACTTTTCTTGTCCTGGCTGCAAGTATTCGAATTATCTAACTTAGGTTGGGAGTCAATGATTCCTAGGGACGCGACCGAGTAGCTCAGCCTTTTTCTCAGACACAAAGACAACAGACATAAACTTGGGGCAATCCTTTATGAGCCATTCATGAATCATGCTAGTCCTACATATAACTCCTCCTCTCCTCTCTTCAACACTTCCCATAAGCAACTCTCATCTCAAGCCTCGCCCAGATCTGCTACCCTAGTCTCTCCTTTCGACAGCAGGAAAGGAAGAAAGCAGTATTAACATCAACAGTAATAGTTTTTCCACAGTCTCCTAAGGCAGTGGTCCCCTTTGGGCCTTGACCCATTCCACCACCAAATCCCTCCCCCCCAGAAACGCCAGGCCAACAGGGAGAAACCCTCCCCGGAATAGAAAAACAACTTGAAAGGCAAATTACATCAAGCAGTCAATGCCTTCACTTCTTCGTCTTCAACTTCAAATGCCACCGCGGAATACATCAGACTGGATCTTAACCCTCTTCCCCACAGCTTCACCCGAACCAAGCCCATCCGAAGAACGCTTCGCGCCCCGGGTGACAACTCCATTCGTCGCCCTCTTGGGAGACTCGACACTCGCGCTCACCATCTTCGAAAGGGAAGAAGGCCCATTCGGCATCTTGCCCTGAAAAGACTCCGACTTCATCATCTTCCGAGCAGCAACAGCCTCAGCCTTGACAGCACCAAGATGCCTCGTATGAAACACCGCCCTCTTCTCCCTCCCGTGACCGCAAACCCTCACATTACCACCGCAAAAGCTGCACTCGCGTCTGCCCATCGCCGATATGAAGCGGCCGTCAGGCGTGGGATAGAAGCCGGGGATCGCAATCAGCTCCTTCTAAGAGTGCTTGCCCTGCGGCACAATCGCCTTGTCGATCTGCAGGTTCCCCCTTGCCATCTTATCCTTCTCGTCGCCGAAGCGCGACTCAAACTCCCGCTGCTGGTTCTGGTGCCTCTCGAGGGATTCGCGACACTCCGGCGGCAGGAGGGCCTTGAGGTCGTCGCCGATGGCCAGGATGCCGTTGAAGGGTTTCAAGAAGTCGGGGACCTCGGCGGGTCGCTTTCCGGCGGATTGGACGCCCGCGCGCGGTATTTCGTAGACAATGTCCACCACGTTGAAGTTGCGCTGCACGGCTGAGGGTACGGAGGGGAATGCGCTGTTCGAATCGCTTGTGTCGCCAGGAGTGACTCTCTCGACGCGAGCGCGGGTGGGCTGCGTGTTGACTGGCTTCTGCATCAGGTTGGTGTGAATGTCGTATGCGCCGTTCCGCAACGTTGCCATGCGGATGGCGTTGAGACGACTGTTGAACTCGCTGAAGCTCTGTTAGTATGACATATTTTACGACTCAAGGATCCAAACCCACCTTGCAGCACGAGCGTGCTCCAGTTGCCAGTTCGTATCGTTCACGTTGACCCTCTTCTTCTTCACCTCTGTCAAACCAGCAAGAGGATCCGAAGCAGCCGGTGTTTGGTTGGTATGGTACACGGCACTGGCACCGAACCACGCAACATACTGATTTGTGTTGTACGGCTCGTTGGGGTTGAAGACGTCTGAAGGGTCCGCAATGTGTCCCTCGATAATGCCAGAGGTGCGCATGTCAGCCACGCGGTAGTCGTCCACGATATTCCGACCTCCCACAATGATCCTCGCGCCGAACTCGACAAAGACGGATCGCGCCGTGACGATACCTATCGCACGGCCCTTGTATGAGTGGGGAATGATATTCCGCTCAATCATGTCCATCTTCTCGTCGTCGCTCACGATAATCTTGTACAGCTTCGGGTGCTTGTTGAAGAACAAGTAACTATCGCGGAAACCGACACAACGTGCGGGCTCCGTCGACAGCATGTACTGCCTCTCGCCGCGATCCTTGACCGTGAATGTTCTGCAACGGTACTGGCGGCCGCCCTGGAGGTTACCGAGCTTGTCGACCTTTTGCTCGCCCTCTGCGTCCTCGGGGAGCACGCACTCGTCGTCGACAATGTCGACCTCTGTGCCCTCCTTGTCAATCACCTGCTTGAGCTTGGGAGGTGCCTGTCCAGGCGCAGGCCGGCGTCCGCCGCGGCCGCGCCAGCCTCCGCGACCTCTACGTCGCGGAGTGTCGGCTTCGGATGCGGGTACGGTGATCATATTGTCCCAGCCAGGTGGCTTGTTCTTAGGGGGCCGTCCTAGTCGCTTGCGACGCACCACGGGCTCGGTCGGGGGAGTCGGTTCTTTGGCTGAAGGTTCGGATTCCTCTCCCTCGTCGTTTGCTTGCTCTTCCTCTTCCTCCTCTCCATCCTCGTCGGCGGCTTCCTCTTCATCGCCTGACTCATTTGCCTTCTCTTCTTCCTCCTCGTCCTCTTCGTCATCTTCGGGTGGCGCCTCGTGCTCGGGCTCTGACTCGACTGCTTCAGGGACGGGCTCGTCATCGTCGATGCCTTCAAAGGCTCTGGGCGTGCTTTCTATATTCGCCATTCAGTCAGCAAGCAGCTTTTCCTTGTGATTTCTGAGAGTAGTCATGGCTGGGACAGTAATTTGTTCGAGGGGTAGCTGTTGAGAATGGAGGGGTACACGAAGCGAGGAGGAAACCATTGAAGCGCTATGCGCTCGCATCCCCCAGGACAACAAGCTGTGGAAAGAGCTTCGAGCAAATACTCCATTTCCATCATGTTGCAAGCCATTCACGAAATCGAATCACGGGCCATGTAGCTCCAAAAGTCGCGACCGAAGGTGCATATTGGGGGAAGCTTGAACTTACGCAGCGCAGCAGAGGCGCGCTTGGCAGCGGCTCTGCCCGACCGAGAACGACGTCCGGACATTGTGAAGCGCGCGCGTTGAGAACACAAGGCGGAGGGTGAAGTCGATATGGGGATTTGTGGGCGCAATTCGCAGGTTCGGTACAGTGCAAGGCTGAATGAATGTCAATCGGCGCTGGTAGATGGAGTCGCGACGCGAGGCAAGGCTCAGCTTTCCCTGTGGTGGGAAAAAGTTATTGGGGGCTTAGCTGGCATTTGATTGGCTGTTCTAGCTAGTGCAAATTACGCAACACACGGCCTTTCCACACTGTATGCACGTCCATCTCTGAATTGCTTCAACATGAAGAACCTTGTCAAGCCATAACTGTCTGGCCTCACTATCGCTTCTTTTCTCATCATTATTCCTGGACAAAACCAAGTCATCAATCGGTGCAACCTCATGACTGAAAGCATGTTGTGATTCGTGCTGTCTATACTATGAATCCTCTTGGTCATAAAGAAACCAAGTAGCAATCTGGGAATATCCGCAATGATTATGCAATTAAGCCACCCCATTCCTCATAATTCCAGAATCCCCATCCCAAACCTCACCACGCAAGCGCGCAAAAATGCAAATCCGTCTCGTCGGCAATCGGACCCTCCAGCTCTAATCTTCCAAGAGCTCCGAGGTCGCACCATTTCAGGTGACTAGAACCGATCGACGGACTGAGACGGCGGGCACAGGGAAACCACCCCTAAACGCCCATGGATATTTTTGTGTTCGGCAGTCGCTGCTAACGACCAAGACAATGCAGCCGGCTGCACGAGGCTCCGAAAGGTCTGTCTTGACGTGATTTCCTACTCTTGTTTGGTAATCGAATGTTTCACGTCTTCTCCGAAACCTCCCGCCTCGACTTTGATGGAGGCCATTTCCTCTGCCTCGCCTTGGGGATGAGCAGTGTCTAAGCAGTTGAAAAGGTGACCAGAAACCTTCTAGTTAACCGGAAGATTATCGATTGCCTTCTTGTCCGCACCCCACTCCTTCTCGATAAGTCTATCGCGAGCCTGGTACAGGAACCGATAGGCTGTCTTGATGGTGCCGTCGCTGACACCTGCCACTGAGGCGATCTCCTTTGAGGTTCTCGATTCCTTCATGAGGTGAGATGCCATGTAGATACAGGCGGCGGCAACAGACAGAGGCGAACGACCAGCCAACTCAGAAACGCTCGATGTCTTGCGTGCGAGCGCGCGCGAGACGTTTTCAATCTTCTGCGCATTGCGGAAGTTGAGGTTGGAGCAGAAACGAGTGCAGAGGTCCTCGGCACTGGTAGATGCGCTGGCCTTGTATCCGTCCAGGTTCGAAAGAGAGCCGGCACCACGCGGGTTCTCCTCCTTGATCTTCTGGAGGAATGACTCGAGCTGCTTGAAAACCCTGCCGATTTCCTTCTTCGACACATGAGTGACCTGGAAGATCTCGCGGAAGGTACGACCGACGCCGGTCTGTCGACAGGCGATGAAGATACAGCCTGCGATGACAGCCTCCTGCGGCTTACCCTTCATGAAGTTGTGGTCGTACGTCAGCTTGAAGATGTGCTTGGCCGCATCAGAGACGTTCTTGCCGAGGTTGATACTATCGCAGAAGGCACCAATCTCCTTGTACGCCTGCATCAGAGATTTGCTAGCCTTGTCGTTCTGGGACTTGTTCTGGAGACGGGCAAGTTGCTTAGAGTCTCTGCCATCACCGAATGCGATGGTGGTCTCGAGCTGTGAACCGTTGAGGAGGGGATTGACGGCGTCACCGACACGGGAGGGATCATCGTTGCCCTGGTCGTCGTTGGCAAATGTCCGCCATTCTGAGCGGGTGTCGATAATCTTGTCTCCAACGACGAGGCCGCAAGAACCGCACACCATGTCGCCAGAGGAAAACTCCTCAACCAAGTTGGGAGGGTACTCCTTGCAGTCGGGACACATCACGACGCAGTTGAGGTCATCCTTAAAGCCCTCGGCATTCTCGTCCGTCGCGGCTCCATTGGGGCCGAGCATCTTGGGCTTGTACGGCTTGGCAGTATAGATGTTGTTGATTTCGTCGAAAACTTTGCGACGACGTCTGAGCTCCTTTCTTCTCCGCCGGAGTTCTTTTCGCTTATTGACGACTGCCTGGTAGGTTTCTTCTGTTGGTTCGCTGGTTTGTGCTGTCCAAAGAAGATCGGTATGAAGCTGAACGAAGAGCGGCGAATGCAGCTTGGCGGTGGTTTTTGGGCGACGGCTACTTCGCTCAATAAACGATCGTCTCAAAGGACGATGCTGGAAGCTGCTTCGGAACCGAGGTAGGGTCTCGATCCCACGCCGAGGCAGTAGGCGATTGTGTATAGATAGAGAATCCTCAGGCTACTTGATCGGCGTTTTCTTGATGAACGGGGTGGGCGTTCAGCGGGAGAATGACGAAAGCGCTCGGGGATGCCCTAACTATTTCAAGAGATGAAGGTGAGCCATGACTTTCCTGACTTTCGGCAGGAATATCCTCTCTCACCAAATAAAATGTCCTTTGACGGAAGTCGCGAAAGACGATTTTGCGGGGGAAGGAGGAGAGGAGACGAGGGGAGAGAAAGGCTTTGTTTGCCAGCCGACCGATTCTACCAGTGAAGGCGTCCGAGACGTAGGAAGTGGCGAACAAAGGCTTGACAAGGTACGGCGCAATTGTACCAAGGTCGCGCGGCTCGAAGGACTCGTATACGACGGTCGCAAAGATGTTCCGAAAAAAGTCGATGCGACGGTTTCTCGAGATTTCGTTGCGGCGAATGCAGACGACGATCTTTCGTGCGGCGAGCGAGTGACGTGAAGTGGGTTGTAGGGGAGAAGAGTCGAGGCTGAGGTTTCGGATTACGGATGAGGACTTTGACCACCCTGAAAGACCTTAGGCAGGCAATTTTCGGAAATGCGGTAAGATGACTCAGCAGGCAGAAAGTTCGATGGGCTCGGCAACCTTATTTCGGTCTACCTCACCTTGCTTACCTCATCACGTGGTGGGTCTACTGTCAACCTCGAATTTCCAGTTTTTGTCATCTCGAATGTTCCAGCCCGCCAAGGAAGGTGTAAGTCAACCATCCACCTTCCTTCATAACTCACCAATCTCTCACCGATTGCAAATAAAACCAAGATTGAGTCAGAAATCTTGACGTATATTCGGTCATGGGTATCAATACAAAAGAAATGTACGGTAAAAGAAGGTACAAGAATACACGCCGGGGCAAATCTTCAGGCCCCGACTTAAAAGGTAGAGCCATTTCACCGCTCAAACATGCTCATCATGCCCACCTCCAGACCTAGCTTCATGAAAAGTGTGAAGAGCCATCAGCTCTCGGAACGGCCGGTAACGGTCGTGTTATTTTCTCCATCGGGTGAATCGGCGGCGGCGCAGTCTCCTTGTCCAGCACCGACCGACTCGGCCCCGATCCACTCGACTCCGGCGCCAGTGGGACCCCGGGCCCCTCGGCATCCATACCGGAGCAGTCCGGTCCAGCATAGGCCCGTCTCGCAGATGAAGCCGAGCTCGAAGTCTCGGACCCGGACCTGCTCCTCCCCTCACTAGGCGCCCACTCCCCAGATATTTGTCGCTCATGGTGTAGCTCCTGATGCTCCCTCATCTGCTGCCTGCCCCGCGGGGGCTCCGGCATATCCATATTCGTCATCTGGTGGTGGTGGCGGCGGTGGTGCTGCTCCTGCATCGAAGAGAGATCAAACACGTCCTCGCAGCTATTACTCCTCGACGGCCCGCGACTCGCAAGCGACTTGCGAATCATGATGCTCCGCTGCAGCTCCTCTTCTTCGAGCCTCTCCAGGGCGCTGAGCTTGCGCCGGCGGGCGAATTCTTTCCGCGTGAGGTAGGGGTCCCGCTTACACGCCTCGCGGAACTGGGCGTTCTTTTTGCGGTCAAAGATGTAGAATAATGTCGCCGACATGATGGCGGATGCGCAGCAGAGAATGACGATGATGAGGATCGTTGTTGTTCCAGCGGAGGAGGGGGATTCAATGTTTCCTGGTGTGCCGCCGATGCCGTTGCTTGCGTCTATTGGTGTTGGCGTAGGTGTTATTGGTGATGTTGTTTGTGCTGGTGATGTATGTGATGGGGATGTTGTTACTGTTGCTGTTGTCGTTGTTGCTTGAAATGTTGTTTGTATTCTTGCTTCTTCTCGTCTGACTATGTCGGAGATGGCAGGTGCCATGTCTTCTTATGTTGACGTTGCGGGCAGCAAGAGAACTGGGCGTTTTGTTTGTTGACAGCGGGACTTTGAACAACATGCAGTCCTAGTCTCCACGTCGTAGTCCGTTTACGCCCCGCCCCGGGGTCTCGATTCTTCTGCTTGCCCTTCCCCCTTCTAGATCCGAGTGTCGTAGCTGAGCTGAGCTTGGGGAAAGAAGTTGAGAGAAGGTGGATAAAAGATGGTGCCGCGATAGTGTACGCCGGCGCCGGCCTCCGGTGGTGCCAGCGTGACGGGTAAGGTGGGCGGAAGGGGGGCGTGGAGGAGAAAGAGAGGTGTGTTGGTGTGGGGTGTTTGTGCGGATGGTCAATGATGCTCCGGACGACTGCACCCAAGCGAGGACATCACCAATGTTTGTGTGTGTAGGTATAGGTAGAATGGGGTTATGATTCTGTCTGATTCCGCTCGGAGCTTTTTGTTCGATGACGGAGACGAGAATAGACAGCTCCGTGCGTGGACCCTCTCTAGATAAGAAAAGTCCGTGTGGTGATGGGTGAATGATGATCAGAGGATGAGGGGAAAAGGGATGACAGAAGGAGGGATGAGAGGTCCCCTTTATTACATGGCCTCTGAATCTTCCCTTGCGAGACACAATGGCTACTCTTTTGCATTGACAAGAGAGAGCTTCACAGGAGCTTCCATGCAAGCAAGCATGGCTATTGAGGGGGGAAAGAATCCTATCAGGACCCTTGTCCAGCGTGAGAGGGCACAAGCCGAAGCAAGCGAAGCAACTGCAAGGCAGAGAGGACATCTCCAACGCCGAGTGGCCGGCATCCCTCGATGCCTTGGCCTTTCCCACTCACACTCGCACACAAGATTCATGGGTTGGGAGTGTGCATATCGCCCAACTGCGGGGATGAGGATGGGACTGGAGTGCAGAAAGTAGAAACAGACACGGTAAAGAGGGTAAATATTTGGGAATGGTAGCCTTAGCCGTGTGAGTGTGCCCCATAAGGCGCTGCTTCTGCCGCAGCGATGCCACTCACAACTTACAACTTCTCTTTCTGTACATTGGGTTGGACCATGGACCATGGGCCATGGTTGTGAATCGTTCGCCCGGCGCCATGCGATGCGGCTATAATTGGCCGTGTTGCTCTCGTCGTGCTACCATCCCTGTTCCCGCAGCAGGGAAACAGATCCGCCCCCCGACCAACCGCGGGGATCCAAGGGTGTTGGGTGTGTCTGGAAAGGGATTTACCTAGACTCTTTGGGGCGGTTCATGTTTCTTGCAGCGGCTTTCTTTGCGGCGGCGAGGAAACGACTAAGGCCGAAGCTCGTCCTAAACGTATGCCTAATGTTCCCCCTAGATCATGTCACGTCTATCGATGGATATCACAAACGAAAACCACTTGACTTGCGTCAGTCTCTGGAACCACCATAATGCTCGTCTGCCTGGCTGATCTGCGCTGGAGACATGTTCGAGGCTTGTTGGTCTTGGTAAAGCGAACGAGACTGCGCAGTAATGTTGCACTAAACCACAGTCTGACAGAGAGAAAAGAAGAGAACCTAAGCGTGGCTCTCCCAAACTTAGAACAGGGTACCACAACGGGTCCACGAGGATCTACCTCAACTCGGCCTAGCCTAGGCGCTCAATCAGCTTTCTCAGATCCGCTCGGCCCAGCAAGAACCCTGACGCCTTACAGTCCAGCAGCAGCCCGGCGTGGTGTGCTTCGTGGGCCGAGCTGGACGCCGTGGACGAACACATACGCTGGAGAACCTTCTTCGCTCGTTCACGGGCGCCATGGCGGAAAGGCGAAGGACCCGCGGGGCGGAGCTGGAACACCACCATCTGCAGCTGTACGGATACTTAGAGTGTAGATCCTGGACACACACCCTGTCGGTGGTGACCTGAATGTGGACCCCGTTGTGTTAGTGAGGCGCTGCTACTGCTGCGAGTCACTCACTCATGAGTTCACTCACTGAAGACCTCACTCACGCAACCCGCTCACTCATCCTTTGCGTGCTTCCCACTCACTCTGCAAGCTGATGATTGAGCGAGTTTGCATCAAACAGGCAATGATCCGACTACCTCGATTAGTTTCTACACATTCAAACAAAGAAATCACAATCCCTCAATTAAACACCTCACCCTCGGGTCAACGCTCACATTGTTTGCCCGCCGCGTCTAGACTCTGGCTCCTTTGTTCACCCTCATGCCCCCCTTTCCCAGTGCCACAAGTCCCAACGTTCGATAACCGTTTCTGAAAATTTCAGCCCGCCCTCTCGCAACTTACACAAAGGAATGACTCGGCTTGGCAGTAACATCATGCGAAGAATTAGCTTGGCCAAAGTCGGGCCGGGGACAAAATGACAATCAACGATTCGAGCTCAACAGATTAAGGTATTAAGGTAACACAAAACAGCACGAGGCAAAATATGTGGCTTTTTCAGCCGCGAGTGCTACGAGTCGGGTCCAACATCCCACCCAGTGCCATCGTCCCATTTTGCGACTCTGAATCCCTTTTCTCCCTCGCTTCAGCTGAAAATGGTTCAAACAGAATCTGCTCAGGTTGTTTTGGCCAGAAAACGTTGAAAGAACATGAACCAAAAACTCTGTCCATATCACATCCAACGGGCGCATTGATCACTCCCACGCACCTCCTTCGCTGCAGCGCGGCCGTTTCAAAACGGCGAATGCATTAACAGCGAGCCTGCAGGATCTCTCCGGGATGAACCTCGGTGAGAAGAAAGGGATCTGATGATAAGGTCGTTTCTTAAGTCGTGAAATCAAGGGGTGAAGACCGCATCCAAGGCCGCATCCCGAAAGTCAATGTCAGAAACAGAGAAGAGAGTTGATGTCTGTTTCTGCATGCGAGAGGATGGTGAGGATGTTAGTTGCTGCAACTGCAAACCCCGTTCGAGCGTGATGAATCCGGACGTTGCAGGCACCGCGGGATGCCCCCCTCTGCCTGCCCTACCTACGAAGTCCGGATGGAGACACTTGGACCCCATGGAAAAATGGGATGGAGGATTCCGTGAGATGGGGTGCTCTTCGGGCTGGTTTAATGATGTTTGACTTGTTTGCGAGCAGACTGAGCTTCACCGGAATACGGTATACTACTCATCAATACTTACAACAGCTTTCTCAGGCAGACAGTGTATCTGCTGCGCTGCCTAGCGACACTGGGTGAATGTACAGTATCCAGAGTCATCCCACGTTTCTTCTCGTCAATATTATTTTCGGAGGTTCGATTCGCAAAAGAGCCTTAAACAGCCTCGGTTCATGCCGTCTTTCCCGCGAAGGATTCAAACCCAAGCATGCTGTGAGGAAGGGTGGGGGGAAGAGACAACGTCCTCCGATTCTCAAACATCCCCTGCATCTTTCTCAAGTTCTTTTTCGGAGATTCCAAGTCAAAGTCAATGGACATACCAAACCCGAGCCATCAACCATCCCGACTGGCGAGAACTTCGAAAGGGCTTCAGCAAAGTGCCGCGCTGCGTGGCAGACTGAAGCAAAAGCACGGTCTACCATCAGTGACCTGCCTGCATCAATGGGGTGAAACATTTCCCTTTTTCTCGGGCAGAAGACTGCATGCTTCCAGCGTCTCAACTCTTCGTTGCTCAACTTAATTCATCCGGGTGCTTGAGCCAGCAAAAGCAGGGTCGAACTTTGAAGAGTCCATCTGGTCTTTCACCCTGAACCCGAGGAACTTGGAGCCGGGTAAATTTCTCGACTCTTCGACGAATAGCCTGGGGATAGATTCAAAGAGACTCTCAGCCATCATTCAGAAACAAGATTCAAGACCATGATCCGGATGCGCCCGCCCATCCGCGCCGGAGAGACGCACTTACACATGCACACCAATTCTCACCCAAGACCGAATCAAACAGCCCTGAGCTCCTCGGACCAGCTCATGCAGTAAGCAACCCCGTCCCCTCCCGCGCTGACAGACGCTGATCTTCCGTCCCCATCGAACCGACGAACCCCTCTGCCCCTCCCCAGGCATCCTCTCATTCCTCCCGTGCCGTCCCTCTCCATGCTCCATCAATCACAAGCACGAGAAACCCCCGCAGCCGTTGTCGTCGGTAGGGATGTAGCTGCTGTATCCTGCTGCCTCAGCTTACCTACAGCTTCTACGATTCCGACCTTCGGCAGCGGGGCATTCTCATTGGTGAACGGGGGCTGGCTGACCCTCGAAGATCATGACTGAGACACATGCACACAACCCTCCGCTGACGTCCGGAAATGGATCATGATCGTGGTAAAGAGTGAACCTCTTGTCGCGAGTCTACTTTCTGTGGATCGCCGGTGAGTGAGAACCTGGTGACGGCACAGCAGCGCGGCTGTGCTATTTTGACGTCTCTGCTCAATGTTACCTTACCATGGACTGAGTGAGCGATAAGCGCTGAACCGCTTTTTGCGGTTACTGATCGTAACTCTCACCCGCAACTCCCGTCTGTGAGCGAATTTCATAAAAGTAAGTTGGTCTCGGTGAATGAGACCCTGGTTGAAGATGCCTGCTAAAGGCCCTCATCCTTACCGCGAGGTCCAACGGGTTAACCGCCTACGCGCCACGTCAAGGCAGACTGAGAGGATATCACAGGGTGCCTTCTAACACAAGCGATAAACACCCCATATTCTTCAAACAGTTTTCGTCCTTACAGAAACTGCACCGAATGCGTGGGAAAACAAAAGACGAAGCCTGCGTTGCATCATCATGCAGCAGAGCCCCCCTCATCCCGGGTTGATGTTCACCAACACAGCCACAACCCTGCTGCACGCTATCCGCAATAATCCAATGTTCGTACAGTACTCGCCTGCCTGCGGAAATGCATTCAATGACATTCTGCATACCCCCCTCTACACAGCCCTCCCGCTCTTCATGCCGCAGTCGAGACGGGACGGCTGCACGATGCCCGCTCCAAGCGTGGCTTTTGGCTTGTTCTTGGGTCATAAGTCAATTGATCCCGTTTGTGATGTTGTGCTTGGGGCGGAGTGTGGTGGGTAGGGTTGGAGGTGCAAGTTGAGAGGAGTGAGGTCGTCGAGTCTGGGGTTATTCTATAATCTGGTACTAATCTCATCCTTCCCTCCCATGAGCATCGCTCAGCGTCGAATGACGTCGGCGAGTACCCGTCCGTCTTCTTAGCCTCAACCAGACATAAGTCATTCATAAGCACTTATTACTATTCGAATGGGGTATCTTTTGGCTTTCTAGAAGTTCTGAAGTCATCTATACGTTGGCCGTCAACTCATGAAAATCTCCCTGCCATCAGCTTGATTGATCCCATGCTCACAGCGGATACCCATCGTCCGATCGAGTGATATAGATCTCCCCAACCAGAACCGTGCAGCCGACCGTCATGGCAATGGCGATGATGGGTATGTTCTCCCTTGCAAAGTCTCTCCTGCTGACGAAGATGTGCTTCCTCTCCAAAATGTCCCTCCACAGCAGGCCGGCCAACGATGCGCTGAAAGCCGTGCTAAAAGCTCCATAGTTGACACCGAGAGCCATACTGTAGACTGTCGCCCAGAAGGTGCGCTCACTGATGGGTACACCGTTTTCTCGGTGGATCTGCTGCCACGCCTGGATCACGCGGGAGAGTAGGATCGTGGTGCCGATGTTTGTACCCGCAAACTAAAGAAAGATAAAAAAAAAAAGTCAGCCACTATGTAACGCCATGATCAAATCAGACCCGGAGGGATCGATACTCACGTTGCAGAGGATGACTGAGAGGAACCCCATACCACCTATGGCACCAATCGTTCCCGTCTTTTCAACCCAGTGATCCCACCCGTACGCAAACACCGGCACCCAGCCCTTGGTGACAAGAGCTTGTACGAGGACGAACATGGCAAAGGCGAAAGGAACAAGAGCGAAGGGTAAGTGAGATAGCACCGCCATCACTGTGGGGAATGTCTCTTGTGACCAACGATACCCGTCCCTGAAGCGCGATACAAGTGTCGCCGGTTGCTTTTTGGAGCGGAAACTTGAGCTTCGGCGGGCTTGTCTCCCAGCGACTCCCTTTTCAACGTCCTTGACCCCATCTGGCAGCGTTTGTGCTTCGCCAGGCCCATTGGCCTCAGCTGGCACAGTTCGTCTTCTACTTTCCGTGGAACCCTCGCTCGGTGTTATGCTGACATCGGCCTTCTCCGTTCTTTCCACAGCTGTAGACTGTGAAGATATGAGCTGCGGGCCTGCATTGCTGGTCACACTGTCGCTGTTTCCTGGTGCTGGGATTGCTGGAGTGATCATGAACTCGGCATCAGTAGCGTTCCGCTCCGACGCATTCGTGCTCGAATCGTTGCTAACTGGCGAAACCTCCTCATTTGCAACCCCAAGGTGTTTCTTGTCTTCCAGAAGGTCGGTATCTTGTATGTGAATCTCTGGCTTGGTTGCATGTGACAGTGGCGACATCTCTGTCGTCTCTTGGGCCAAGCTTGTGTCTTCTTGGCCTAATATGCCCGCATTGCCCTTCTCCCTAATGCCCTCCTCTGCTCTGGCAAGCTCCTCATCCTGTCCCTCTCGGCCCTGTTGCGCTATCCTGCGAGTCTCCTCTCTGTGGGACCAGCCGAACGCCAGGTCCCAGCACAGCATGATAAAAGCGGCCGGTAAGGTAACCCAAAAGACTTGCAGGTGTTGGTCGTCTTTTGGTTTTACGTTTGCGGCATTGAGGGCCAGGACCGTAATTAGGGTCACCGACATGACAACAGCGCCAAAGGCGGCTCCTCCCTTGTCCAGCCAGGGGTTCAAAATCTCAATCGCCGAGAGCAACTGAGCTTGCGGACTGCTCTCGGGCGCTTGATCGGCATTGCTTGCGGCTCCTCTTGGGTTCGGGATGTTGGGGTTGACGGGCTTCGATTGCATGGCCTCCTCTGGCGGTTGAAACATCTCAATGGACTCAGGGATGAGCTTCTTATCTGCAAAGATGATGTAGAGAAGGAACGGAAACAAGACGATGGCCGTGACGACGACTGGCACAACCATGTTGGCCGTGTACTCGACGAACTTGATGTCGAAGGCACCTGCAAGCACGAGGTTGGTCGGGTTAGACGAGACGAGAATGGCTGAGGCGATGTTGGCTATGGAGAACTGGGTGAAGATCCACGCTCTCGGGTATTTGATGTTGTTCGAGATTCGCGTCATGTAGGCGAGGAAGGCCGTGCCGGACAGGATGATGGGATCGTTGCCGATGAAGGTGCCCAGGCAGAAGAAAAAGGCGTAGAGGTAGAAGAACAAACGGTAGCCGACCTTGCCTCCCCATTGAAGTACCTTGAGTGCCAAATAACGAATAAGTCCCGAGGCGTCAATCGAAATAGCAATGTACGCCAGCGTCAGAAAGAAGACCATGATATCGAGAGGATGAATGCCGTTTTGACCAATGGTCCCGTCGTACACTTCCTCTCTGCCAATTGCCAAGATGGCAAGGAGAAATAGGTCGGCAATCAATGGCGCAGTGATTGAGTTCATTGGGAAGTCAAAGCGCTTGAAGCGCTTGCGTCGAGGTGACATATCCCCGAGGCGACCTTCCTTGAAGTCATCGCGAGTGTCTTCTTCGCGCGGAATCACCCGCAGCTTGCGAAGCACCTTCAACACCGCATCCCACAGTCGCACAGGAATGAAGACTGGGATGTGGAAGGGAAATAGTACGACGATATCTGTGTGCCCAAGGAGTCAATAAATCATCGATTTGCGACACATGTGCGATGTAAGTGAAGCCTTTTAATTTGAACGCAAGTACCACAACTTACTCGCGAGGAAGAAGGCAATCAACGTCACAATTGACCTCCATTCTCTGATCTGATCCGTCCGAGTGTCGATGGCCATCGCGATCAATTAAGATGTGCACCAAGACTTCCAGCCCTTATCGGGCCCCGAATCGTCGACTAAGGGAAGAATTGAGAACTTCGCAAGATCCATGTACTCACGATGTCCTTCAATTGCGCGGTGAAGGAGGCAAGAACCGAATCGAGACGACGTGGGAATGTGCAAACCATTAAGTGGAGCCTGTGTACGTATATTTACCCGGCTTGCCTTGCTTGCTAACGAAGAAGGCGCGGGTGATTCACTTCGGTCATCTCCTTCTCCATTTGACGGCGCCGCTTCATTCGCGAGGGACGATCGGTCTGGGTGATTAACGTTTCCTTCAAGTCTCCAAGTTCTAGTTTGGAGCCAACCTAACACTGCCACCTCGCGCCTGAGCTAATTAATATTGCAAGGAAGAATGGCAGCCTGATGATCAAAAGATGCGGTGCGTGGGTACGCATCTACAACCTCTCTGCACTTCTATCTTCGCTTCTGTAAGTTTCGCTTTTTTGTTATTTTATTTTTTTATTTTTTTATTCTTATTCTTTCATCATGTTAAAGATATCCCGTGCGAGACTGACTGGTTGAGCCATAGAGGAGAACGTCTAGCGCAAAGTTATGCTCGAACAGCGTCCACTACAGAGACCCAGAACCAACAACTAGGCTGCCCGAGCTAGCATCATCCACCCACGTCAGCGAGATCGCCCGGCCATGTGAGGTCCGGGGAACGAGGAGACTCGAGAAGGAAAAGGCACTAAGACCTGAGGCGGAGCGAGCTGGCGGGGTGACATCAACGCCCGACTGGCGAGTTGACCTTGGCCCTAGTGCTTCAACCGGCATAGTATCCTGCACGGTTCCAATGCCATCAGCAAGCATCAGCAAGTCAGCGTGCCTCCGATTGAACATTGTTTCTCGTCAATGTCAGAGCCGACAGGGCATTGCACCCTCTACTGGCCAGAAACAGTTGACAATGCGTCCCTAGAAGCTCTCACATCTGCTGTGTTCCCATCCTTATGGGGCTTGGCGTTGTCGATTCGCTGGTCGGCAATTTGCAGCGTCAGACTCTCAGCGATGCTCGCCCAAAGCACCTGCCTTCTTTCACCTGCGACTCGATAGATAGCATGATGAAGACGGTAAGATGAGCAGCCAAATCCTTTGGCTGCGCCACCACCGCGGGGGTTCTGGAATGCTTGCCATTTGAACCCAAGCTTTTGCCCCTTGCGCCGTTGTTCTGCTCTACTCGCTGAGCCGCACCGGAAGAGCAAGCGAGCACACGAGCACCTTCCACTCCCAGCCTTACCATGAAGTGAGGTAATCAATGCCAGTATTGGACAGATACTCGGGCAATCGGAAGGGGATGTGAACTTCTTTGGATGGAGGGGCGGGAGACAACCTCCACGTCTTGTCCAACTACCGATTAGAGAGGCAGCCGAAAGCCGTTTTCGTCGATTAACTATCTACAACTTCCACCGTTGCTACCGAGGAGGAAACAAACGAAAGCTTATTTTACCGAGCGTTCCCACATTAGATGGTTGGACCACGCTGTATCAACCTTTCGGGAGAATTGATGGGACACGCGCGATGCCACCGCTTTCACCTGCCCCTCTATTGCGTGCCATCATCAGCCAGCGGGCCACAGATCAGCTCACCGCGTCTTGCGGATCGTCTCCGAATTGCATAGAGGTTTTCTGCGGATGGCCAGTATCAGGGCAATATGGATTTGGCCAGCGAATCCTGTGAGCGATGCTTCTCTTTCTCCACTTTCTAATGCAATGGAACCGGATTACATATAACCTACCAAGCGGTGGACAAAACCGGGGGCTAGCCCGGAGCAATCGACCAAGACCTCATCGTTATTATGGTGTATCGGCCCTTCTACCTCGCTTTCTGTAGTAATCCAACCCTGCGCTGGCTCGAGATTGGAGACAGGATGAGGCGAGCGATGGGTCAATTCCACGGACGCAGCCAAAGGGCAGAAGCGTTGCCCATATGCAACTTTTGATTCTCTTCGAACAAACAATGCTTCACGATAAGATGACCATAGCTAATGTTAGGTGATCTAGATATTACATCCTTCTGGCAGTATGCGTGCTAGCTCGTGGAGAGAAATGGATCAGGGATGTCTGCATAGCAGCGGCATTGATCTTACCGGCTGTGGCTGCGGTGCACGGAATCGTCCTTGCTGCGCTCCACGTGAATGGTTAGTTTGAAGCAAAATGGTCTCTGGTCTCTCGCTGACACCTCTTACCTAGATGCTGCCGATATGGACATCTATGGGGCGCTTCAATTCTGCTCCATTGGCATTCTCGCAGTTCCGTTGACGGTCAAGAAGTCCGAGACCTACTTCCACGAAAAGGGACGCAATACTGTGTTTGTATGGACGAGCCTACTACTAGCAGGTATGAAGCTACTGATCTAGAACACGTGTTTGCTCAAAGGTTGACCAGCATTCATAGGTCTTGTGAGCTTGGCTGTCGAGTTCTACCGATCCAATTCTATCCCCTGTTATAAAGACAACAACGGCAATCCAATATCGTCGGACCCGAGAAAGTTCCCGTACGGAGACAGTCCATTGTGCGGTATTACTTGTTCCCAGACGGACGGTCCTTTCTCACGCTTGAGGCAAAAGGCTGCAAGTGAGATATTCGTGGTGCCGAGACCGAACGAGCTTCGCTTTGGAAATGCCATGTTTCTCGCGGTGGCATGCTGCGTTCCGGCCATCATCTCGCTCATCTCTATGAGAAACAAGATCGTCATCACCGATTGGATTAAGAAGCAGAACGGGCCGCAGAAGGAAAAGGGAAATGAGTCTGAGGATTCTAAGGATCTACACAGAACCTTTAGCGGGTTCCTGAACCTGATCGAGATCTTCGTTTTCGGCGGCGCTGCATTGACCATCCTTATCCTTGGAGAGATCAATCTCTGGAGTCCCCAAATGGACTATCACACTGAGCCATTTGGAAGCGTTGGTGAGTCTTACGCGTCCACGGGATGTCTCTATCACTGACCATTCCCCTTTCAGGCCAATGGGGCACCATTGTTGCAACAGGGCTAGCAATCGTAGGATCATTCCTCATCTATTTACTAGACGGCATAAACGAGGCTCCAAAGGACCCGCTTAGCATCTGTGGCTGCGAGCACTGTCGATTGATCTACGATCGGGCTCGAGAGGTGGACTCGGAGTCCTTCCGAGAAAGTGAAGATGGTCATGCGGACCATATTGAACATGGCTTTCCGCCACTCACGAGCACATCTACACGCGGGACTCAGGCGACCAAACAAGGTCCAGGACATAGACGGAAGGTCTCTGCCGGTTTGGTCAAAGTTGGCAAGTGGTTCGGCAGCACTACCGAAGATCCGTTTGGAGCCCCCGACTATAGAGAAAGGCAATGGCCCGAAGTTCCCGGGGAACGGTTCAGAAGTTCTGCCTTGAAAGATACGGCTGAACAGTACAGCACATATCGAGAACACGATCCACAGGAGCCAGTGTCCCCAGGACACCACTCAGGAAGCGAAGGCGGGCCTGCGACGCCACGACCAGTATCACCCATATCACAAGAATCACCATTATCGCCTCCGCCACCTAGCAGAGCAAGGCCAAGAAACAATTCGGAGCCTGTGTATTCACGATCGCCATCGCGGCGGCGACCAGGTTCGCCTTCTTCTCTGGCTGGATCGCCCGACGGCCCGCGAACACGACGCCGGCAGACTCTCGAGGTCCCAGGTCAACGCCGTTTGTGAATCTCCAAGACAGCACGAGGCAACTATAATAGCAGCTGAATGTAATACAAGCTTCGGGCCGAGGATTACTGGGATTGTGGATTTTAGTTTGAAGATGTTTGGTCAAATCCGTCGTGGGATTTCTTATTCTCCTCTGACCGCATTTTGAGAGGCGTTCGGCGTCAGTGCTGCTCGTTGTCCGGCCGCAAGCGCACACGTGTTACATGTAATAATAGAAATGGCAGAATAGAAGTTCGGTATGAATGAACTGCTCGCTTTTGTGCCCTCGACCGCGTCAACTTGCAGACGGGACATTCGAGGCCGAGTTTCAGAGCCGATGAAGGCAGTCTGTGATGGCCTGTGCCCAATTACCTAAGCCACATAAATGGCGACCAGGATAATGCCGAGGCCTACCCGACGGCATCCCCGCCAACGGACCGGAGCTAGACCGGGGTCGGAGCTGGGGAACCAAGTCGCGAACGTCGATGATGCCGGTCTCGAACTTGTTCATCAACTTCCCCGCGAAACCTTGTCCCCATTTCTTTTTTGATTTTGTTTAAAGACCAAGGCCATGGCTTCTTCATCACTTAGAATTTCGTCCCGGATAGCCACGAGGGCTGCGCGGTCATGTCAGCAGTCCTCACGCATTCCGAGGGCGTGGCGTCAGTACTCATCGGTACCGAGCAACAAGCTGCCGCTTGAGGGGTATCGTGTCCTGGACATGACGAGAGTTTTGGCTGGAGTGAGCATCAATTGCCCCGCCCTTTGAGAATTAGAATGCTAACTCGACTGGTGTAGCCATACTGTACACAAATTTTGGGAGACCTGGGGTCAGTTGATTCATCATCTCATGCCAAGCAACCCGTACTGATGCCATTGAAGAGCCGAGGTGATCAAAGTCGAACACCCCGTCCGTGGCGACGACACCCGAGCATGGGGTCCTCCCTACGCAACCTACAAAGCCGGCTCATCTAAAGAAGGCCCCGGGGAATCAGCCTACTTCCTCGCAGTGAGTACCTTATCCCCCAGTCACATGTATGAACCGAGTTAACTCATCCACACAAGGTGAACCGCAACAAGAAATCACTAGGCCTCAACTTCCAACACCCATCCGGCACAGAAATCCTCCACAAGCTCGTCTCGCAATGCGACATCCTCGTAGAGAACTACCTCCCCGGTACTCTCAAAAAGTACAAAATGGACTACGACACCCTCCGCGCCATCAACCCGGGCCTCATCTACGCCTCCATCACGGGCTACGGCCAGACGGGGCCGTACTCAGACCGCGCGGGCTACGACGTCATGGTCGAGGCCGAGTTCGGGCTGATGCACATCACCGGCAGCCGCGACGGGGAACCCGTCAAGGTCGGCGTCGCTGTTACGGACCTCACGACGGGGTTGTATACGAGTAACAGCATCATGGCGGCGCTGCTTGCGAGAGGGCGGACGGGGAGGGGGCAGCATATTGATGTGGCGCTGAGTGATTGCCAGACGGCGACGTTGGCGAATATTGCGAGTAGTTGTTTGATTAGTGGGAAGAAGGACTCTGGGCGGTGGGGTACCGCGCATCGTAAGTTCACTCTTGGCATATTGTTTACTATCATAGACTCCTGACACTTTCGCCAGCTTCAATCGTTCCGTATAAATCCTTCAAGACAAAAGACGGCGACATCCTCTTCGGCGGCGGCAACGATCGCCTCTACGGCATCCTCTGCCAAGGCCTCAACAAACCAGAATGGCAGCACGATGCCAAATACGCGACAAACGCCCAACGTGTCGCCAATCGCGTCGAACTCGAGGCGCTCATCGAGCAAGTCACTGTCACTAAGACGACGGCAGAGTGGCTGCGCGTGTTTGAGGGCAAGGGGATGCCGTACGCGGCTGTGAATGATGTGCAGGGCACGCTGGAGCACGAGCATACGAAAGCGAGGAACATGGTTGTCGAGATGGAGCATGAGGAGTGCGGGCCGATTCGGATGGTGAATACGCCGGTCAAGTATTCGGAGAGCGAGCCGAGTGTGAGGAGCGTGCCGCCTACGCTGGGGCAGCATACTGATGAGGTTTTGGGGGGCATCTTGGGTTTTCGGAAGAAAGGATCCGGGCTTTGAAGGGGGAGGGTGTTGTGGGTTAGGGGAAAACGGATATCCGCTTGAATGCATCGTGAAGTCCTTCGGTGGAAAAAGGAGGTTTTTCACTGCAACTTTAGTGGGCGATGCTAGGACGGCGCCTTTCACTGCAATTTTAACACCTCTGAAGATGGTAGGCTGCGAGCGTATCCAATTGCCGAACCCCAACGCACTGCAAACTTGAACTAGTCCAAGGTCTTTCGCACAGCATGACTGAAAGCATCTCAAGCAGATTTCCTTACCCAAAAGAGCAGAAAAGCATCATGGGTCGAGAGTACTGCCATGTGATGTGCATATTGCGCTTCTTGTCTCCGTCTTTCCTGCCTCACCTTGGTCCGCCCGCTGACCGGGAGAATCCAAGGTGGGTAGGCGCGGGCCTGCTCGGTGAGCTCGGTAAACAGTGCACGTGACACTCGCGACTCACAGTGGTCGCGTGTTTGATGGCATTTCTGCGGTTGACTTCTTGCCTACACAGCGAGCCGTCATTATTTTCTTCATTATTCAAAACAGATACCCATTACGTCAAAAGCTTGTTCTTCGTCGATTGAAGGGCTAGTCTATTTGGTTCGAGCTTCCGCATTCAGAAGCTGGAATTTCTTATCCTTTGCATCACCTTCTTGGTCTGCTAGCTTCACCAGCATTCGACAGCTCTCACAAGCCATCCCGCCTTACACGCCTGTATTGCGGCACAAGCCGCACCTCTCAATCTTAACATGTCAGACCCATCGGCTTCAGACCTTATGGTAATCGATTCGGAAGTCACAAATGAGTTTGAGTTTAGCGAAATCGATACCACAATTGAGATGGAAGCCCCGCCCATGACGACCGTTGAAACACAGCCAGAAGATGCGCAAACAGCTCCCGTCGAAGTCGAAGCTCACCAGCAGTTGCCTGCGCCAATCGCGCAAATAGAAATTGAGCCTGTGCCAATTGAGCATCGCCACGATGTACAGACACCGGCTCGTGTGTCAACTCCCGCGCCAGCTATTGAACAGCAGTCGTACCAGCCACAGTTCTCTCTTGCGACTTCGCAATTCATCATGAGTCGTCACAGAGGCACAACCCCAGCATCACCACCGGCCCATCTCGTCGCAACTCCCCCTCCTCCTCCGACTCCTGAGGTCGCCCCGGAGGAAGTCGAAGATACACCTGTGAACTACTCACACCTGCCTATGACTGTTTATCTCCCGTACGCAGAACCCCAATCAGTCCCGCCCAATTTACTACCATCTTCTGGAGCAAAGAGGAAGCGCGCGGCAGCGGAAGATGAGACTTTGCGAAAATCCGCAAGCATCCCCGCCTACCAGGAACCCGCAATCCTCAGGCGTCCCGTGCCTAGACCACCGGTGAAGAGAAAGCGCACCAAAGATGACGGCAGCGGAAACCCAATGTGCGTCAAGTGCAACCGCACCTCCGCCACCGACGGCAACGTCATCGTCCCTTGCGGCTGCGGCGAGGCGTGGCACCAGCTTTGCCATGACCCAGAGATCTCGGCAGATGCCCTAGGCGGCGGTTCCTCCAAGTTCAAATGCGTCACCTGTAAGGAGGAGGACAAGCAGCAGGCCAAGTATCAGCGCGAACTTGCAAAGTACCGCGAGGCGAAGCAGGAGCAGTCGGAGTGGAGAAAGCACCACAACGAGGTGGAGAGGAAGCGCGAGAAGAAGCTTGCCACCCTACCAGAGTTTCCTAAGCCAAGTCTCATTGGCTTTGAAGGAGGCAGTGCCAGTAGCAGTGAGGTGAGTGTCAAAGAGATCAGCAGGAACCTTGCACCCATGCTGACGTACTTGCAGAGACGAGAGTACTTCTCAGATCTCAAGAGGAGCGATCTCCTCAATCTCCTCCTATTCAGCGAACAAATCAAGCCCGGACTTCTTGTGGACGTCCTCACCTCTGTCTCTAAGAAGCATCCCGACCTACCTCTCTTCAGCTCGCCAGATTGGGCTGAACCAAAAGTTGTACGTCTTCCACCCTCACTGACCTCATCCCAAAGCAAAAAGACTAACACCGCACAGCAACACCGAGAATCACAACCCCGCCGCCAGCAAGACCACCGTCCGGCTTCCAAGCCCTCAAAACAGCGGTCTAAAACAGGCGGCGTCCGTAAGATCCTCAAGACGGCACCTACCGGTGCAGCCGACCAAGCAGAAGCAGATGCCGAAGACTCGGAGGACGCACTCCCCGAATCCTGGCCCAAAGCTGGACATGGGCTCTACCAGCGCCTGAAGTCCGAGAAGGATGATCCAATGTTGTATGACGACAACGACGAGGAGGCGTTTAGCCACTTTATGGTCGACAAGTATGGGAAGCAGATTATGGAGCCTCTTGCGGGTTAGGAGCCCGGCAACCCTCAGTATGACAGCTTTGACAAGGAACAGCGGGATAAGGCTTTGGGATTTCTGCACAAGAAGTTGGCGGGCATTACAGATGGTGCTGCTTGTGCGGCGGCGACTCTTGGGGACGCTGATGCGCAGATGGTGGACTTGACAGGCAAGTCCGATACAGAAGCAGGCTAGCCACCTGCGTCTACCACGCCCAAGGCTGATACCATCGAGACCCCAACAAAGGGACGGCAGACGAAGCGAAGCAAGCAGGCCGGTACAATCGTAGCTGAAGAGGCCTACTCTACATCCAAAGAGATGGCTCACATGAAGCCATGGCACCTGTAAAAGGACCTGAAATAGTCGCCAAAATCCAGGCTTGGTACAGTCGATAGGTGTAGGATTACTACAAAAGTCGAGATAGAAGAAGTTCTTGTACAATTGATACCCGCAGCCTGACTGCAGTTCACCAGAACCCCGTCTTTCATCCCCTTGTGCTTCTGAACAAGAAAACTTGAAAGCATGTACCCTTCTTTGAACGTTGAAGTGTTGACGTGCTAAGACTCACTGCACGCTGATATACCCTCACGACTCATTTCACATAAATATCCTCCACACCAGTGCATGAAAATGGAATGACGTGCTGCAACAGACGCTGTCTGACATGCGCCCGTCTGTCATAAATGCTCACCGGAGATAAATCAGACGAATGTAAGGCAGTTACTCGGCAAGACGAACCGAGGTCGCCATCAGACGGAGACGTCGTCCCATATGCCACGTCACATTTTAGATGCAAGAGATAAGTAATAGTGGCCGTTTGATATTGATTATCATTAACTAATGTAGGCTTCTTTTTGTGTCTGTAACTATGCTATGCCCTCTAACCTCGTAAATCGCAACCATCGTCACGCAGGCCTCATAAACGCAGGCGGAGGCGGCGATGAATCCTCGTTTCCCATCTCATTCCCTGGCCCTGTCCCGCTTGCAACGGAGTTGACGCTCGCACTCACACTGTTCTTGACCCTTCTCACGCCCATCCGGACAGGTAACCCTACCCTCCCACCTTCCCCGCTAATACCGCCGTCGCCCTCCTCAACAGGCCTCGCAGCTTCAACGTCAACGACATCAATCCGCCCAGCCCCCTCCCCGCCCGCACTTCCAAGCCTCATCGCGCTGCCACCAGGCGACATCCTCCCCCTAATCACCCCCCTCCTCCCAATATCGTTCCCAAATACACTTCTCGCCTTCGTCCCGTACCTCCTGACCTCCTTGCCCAGCCAATGCCGACACAGAACCACAAACAACAAATCCCAGAGCCCGATGCCCCAGAGGAACATGTACGCCAGCACGCGGCCGTAGGTATCGGACATACCCCAGTACGTGAACCCGCGCGCAAAGACGTCGCCTAGGGAAATGTAGACCCAAAAGATTGCGATCAGGGAGGCGCCTAGGACGAGGCGGATGAGGAGGGTCCAGCCTGGCCAGGGGTCGTGGGCGTGGACTATTGAGCGGGCGTCGAGGAGAATGTCTGTGGAGAGGATTGCGATTAGGGCGACGGCGGCAGGACTGTTGATGACGGTCAGTATGGATTAAACATTGATGGGATAGTAGATGTGAGGGGGGACACGGTGACGAACCCTGTGGGATATGTCAAAGGAAACGAGACGTTGTAGAGGAACCACGACATGATCCATAAGAGTATCGAGGCGGCGGCGACGTGCGCTACGTCATTGGCGATTTGGGCACGAAGGAGCCATCGCTTGAACTGTCGCGCCTGTTGTGCGTTGGGACGGCGAGGTCTCCGGACTCGGGTCCGGCTTCGGGGCGGCGGGGGAATCGTGAGCGGCGGAGGACGGTGGGGGCGCTCCATTGTGTGGTGGTGATGGTGACTATTATGGGTGTGTTTTCCGCCGCTGCACCACCAGAGATCTCGAGTTGGTTGAGCAACAACACGATGGTTCAGAGATCAAAGGCGGGCGAAAAGAGGTGAAGAGGATTGAGAGTTTGCGCAGAAGGCCTTCAGCATGATCCTGTCTCGGCGGTGACGAGTCCCGTTGGATTTTTTCGCTTCCGTTTCTTTTCTTTCTTTCCGCTGTTTCGACTAGTCCTCCGTTTGGAGATTGCCCAGCATGCCAGTGACGTTTTCTGTTATGAGAAGATGGGGACACCAAATGAGTTTAGACGGGGGAAAAGATGTCAAAAGGGTAAAGGCGCAAAAAGCCAGGAACGAAGAATAGACAATTGGTACTAGTGACCGACGCGGCGGATGTCTCAGACGGGAAGTAAAGAAGTGATAAGACAGGTTCGGGTAGTAATAAGAGTCGCAGCGCAGAGCGATTATCAAAATAAGATAAAGCACGGGATTCTGGAACGTGGCATGAGATGACGCTGGGTGGGATGAGTGTTACTCTACGTGTTAGGGCGGGAGGGAGAGAGCGAAGGTGGGCGAGTAAGAGTCGTGAGAGGTCCGAAAGTAGGAAGTAAACGCGGATTCGCAAAAGGTTCACGTCGCAGACAGGACGGTATGTTGTAGAGTTTGTACTTTGATCTTTTTCTTAAACCTGGGCTGAAGCCAATGTTGGAGAGGTGGACGATTGGACGACCGTTTTCAGCCAAATCGGCGATCAATCATGTACGGGATGGGACGAGATGATGACGATGGGGAGCCGGGCCAGGGCGTCTCGAGTCTGGACAAAGTTTGAGAAACACGAAAACGATAAAAAAAAAGGGCAGAAACCCCTTCGGCGAAGAAACGGAGACAACGGCCAGCGAGGTGGGAATGGACCGATCGAGGCCTTTCGACGTACGTATGGCGTTGTGAGATGTCGGAAAGAAGGAAAAGAAGTAGAAGGAGACTCAGACTCCGGCCGGAAGAGCATCTGCGGGAGAGACCCGTGGTTTTGAGCCGGACGTCCCATGCGATGCAGATATCTCTTGGCTGCTTTCTGAAGGGGCACCGGTCTCTCCAAAGTCCAAACCAAACCCGTGTGACCGTGTTGTTGGTGCAACGGAGCTGCGAGCTGCAACAGCACCGCGTCCCCGAATGCAGCATGCATCTTTTGGTCCTTGGTAACAGCCACTCAAAGCCAATGGGCCCTGCGCAGATCATACAGCTCCCCAACCCTATGCGTGCGCCCCCCTTGCACCGGCACTCGACGCCGTCCCGTGCAGTAGTGTGGTTTCCAGGGGCATCGCGAAGTGCCACAACATTTGAACATGGACCGCTTCGTGCGGGGCCGCTCACCGGACTGTTCTTAGCCTCCACCATCTTTAGAAATAGCCCGCTGCGGCGCTGTCCAGTCGATGGTGGCCCCTGATGCCCTGGTGAGGCTCGGTCTGAAGTTTTGCCAAGCGCAACACTCTTCTTCGCTTCCGTGGGGTTCGTTACAAGGGGGCCCTGACTCTTGTCGTCTTTTCCAGGGGGCCAGTAACCCAAGTTCCAACCGCCAGAGTCCATTGTCCGGTGGTTGTTTTCTGGCTCGGACGAGTCTCAGACCAGATGAACTTCAATCAAAGTCCACGCCCCCGTCAGTGGCATCTTCTCTGAAGCTCAGACACAGGTATACGGACCGCCGCCTTGATTATCTTCATCGTATCCCGGGAACTAAACCCATCCGGGTTCCTCGTAGCCTCGGGCCGACGAAGGGAAGACATGTCGATGATAATGTGTCTTGGTCAGCGAAATGTTGCGCAACGCCAATTCGTGTTTTCAACCAACCCTACTCGTTCACTGTCAGTCAACAATCATTTGAGTTGTCTCCCACAGATCTGAGGAGTCATACATGGCGGGTAATCCTTGCCAACGAAGCACAGCCTCTCTCCCCTCGAGGCCTTCTCCATCCCATCTCTAAACAGCATGGAACCTGGAAACGAAACGTCGCTCTGCTTTCCGTGAAAGGCAATTCTGGATCCAGTCCGTTTCTGAAATCCATAGCGTGTATGCTATCGCTCTCAAATAATCGCAGCCGCACCGTACTTGGGGACTGCTGACGCAGGTCCTCCGATACGCGGCATTGCAGTGCGAGATCGAGTCGTGCAATCTTTTTCGTCCAAAGGTTTGGCATGATGCCTCGCGGTTTTGGCACCTGCCAGATGCTTCTTGTCCTCGGCAAGCAACCCCGTTGGCTCGAACGTCCTAAAAGTAAAGGCCAAACATTGTCGGAAATTCACAATATCATCTATGACCGATATTGAAATATTCGCTGCAGGCCGTCTCTTGCCACCGATGCCTTTTGACAGTCGAATGCATACAATCAGTCCCTGTCGTAGTCGACAAGATGTAGCATACGCCTGTTGACCACATTGGTAGGAGGACAGTCTAGAGCATGTTACGAAGAATCGCCAAGCGACGATGCCTATACTGGAGCTGTGTGAGGTGCTGGGAGCTTACAACGATTGCAGAACATCTCGGTGTTGACGTAAGGTATTCAGAGTCAGCATTGCCTCGCGGGATCTTTGGGTGTCTTTGCCTTTTGATGGCCGCCGTCATTGTCGCATGTGCCGGTGTCGCCGTCGGGATCGTTCCTGTCGCTGGTTCACGACCAAAGGAATATACGTAATACGGTCCGAATGGCAGATCTATCCGCTCTGAACTCGTCAAAAGAGACCGCTCTATCATCAAGTCAGTGCATGATCTCTTAGGTGAGGATTGGAACTTTAAATCGCGGCCAATGGGTCGACGAGAAGTCCGAAAGTGGGTGATGATTTTGAGTTTGGGAGTGGCGGAGATGGAGGGAGAAGTTGAGTTGCCTTTAGCCGGAAGATTTGAATCCCGGGCTCTTTTGAAAAACCCAGAAGAGAGAAGGAGCTGATCGGGGCCTCGTCACTTCCGGGGCGAGATTCGAGAAGGCACGAGTGGTCATATCGGCGCTGCCGGCGATGTGGGGCCGATCCGAAGGCCGAGAAGGCGATGCATCTTCTGACGGAGAGATGAACTTGGGGTTTCTTGCTCCCTTCCAAAGCTTGGCCAGTGATCAATCGCTGAACTTAGAATAGTGAATGGTTTTCGGCATTCTGTATCCGGCTCTTTACCGGTACTCGGCGTGCCAAGAGGCGGTCCGCTACTGACCGGCTTCGCCACCGGCGCTGTATCCGGACTCCATAGTCCGGAGAAGGAGTTTATACGAATATTGGCAGTTGCATGAGACTTGCTTCCTATCTTCAAAGTGCTCTCGTATACTAGACAGTGAATCACCTCACATCACTTGGACTTTCAGGGTTCATGGCTTCGGCTTCTGCGGCGAAAAGGGGTATGGACAGATCAATTCCCCTCCCCCACGGGTATCACGGATATTCAATGACGGAAACCGTTCGCCGGACTTTGTGTAGACTCCAGGACGTCATTGACTTCCATGTATTAACTTGCGGTGCTACCGCAGGCGCAAAACCATGTACGATGGGTACTGAAAACAAGAGGGCTCATCGTTGAAGGGGCAATATAGGCCCTGGCTGTGCCGACCCCGGGGAACATAAGCAGTTTTTGGCAACTCGGGAGGAATTCGGCACGGTCATGAGGCAAAAGGTCCGAACTGAGCCGATTTTGTAGAATGATAGACGGACCTTGAACGGAAACTATTAAAGAGCGAAACCGACGTATTCGCTGCGTGATGCGCGCTGTTTTTGGGGAGCCGGCCAAGCTTTCAGAAATAATCTAAACTAGCTTTTTTCTCTAGGTTGAGTGCTGTTTCGAAGGGCAGATTTTACGACACCGCCTAATCCCCTGAGTGAGTTGTCAACGACATAGTGGCTCTGTAGGGAAACCTGTATGACTCGGGGGGCAGACTATGTGGATACACGGGGCATGAAAACCGCCCAACATCAACTGCAAAAAGGCCAAACATAAGCTTTGTTAGTGATGATTGTTGTCTTCCGCTAACTCCGGGGTGATATATTGACATCTAATTAACTTTTGCAGGACTCTCGTATCGTAGGTTCAACGGTTGGCTTCGAGAAGGATTCCCACGATTTGAGAACTTTGGAAGGTCTGCGGGTTGGCAAATCCTATCTATATAGAGCTTGGTATTCTTCGCCGATGAATGAACAGAATATGTGACCAGTAGACAAACGCAATCTCATCAACTCATTACAACATCTAGTTACCATTCCAACCCCCACCAAAAACTCAAAATGAAGACCTCCATCATCTCCACCATTGCCATGCTGCTCATCTCCAGCAGCTTGGTCGATGCTCGCACTTGCGTGTGTCTCGTACGTATCATTCACTCACGCAACTTTGGGCTCAAAGCCCCGTTGCATTTGAAAATTTGCAGAGCTGACTATCGGATCTACAGTTCAAGAACCAGGACGGCAACGACCAGGGCTCCCAGGGATCTACCGCCCACTGCTGCGGTAGTAAGTCACACCCCCTCTACCCTTTTGCTGCCTCTTATGTTTTTTATGCGGCATACTAACGCCTGACTTCAGACGGCGTCGTCACTGGACCTTTCCACAACGCTGCCTTCTACTGCCCCAACAGACAGGAGACTGCTGCCCAATTCGATGCTTGCTGCAGGAACTGGATCGCCAGCTCTTTCGGATCTTGCGACTCCTAAGCTGTCCAATAGGATCTTGGCTGGCATGTGTAGTCCGTGGACTTGAAGATTCTGCAGCGATTGATAGAGACATGGATAAAGATAGAGGCATTGGCTGATAGCTTGAATACATATGACTGGTTCTAATGATCTTCGCTTTCCTTAAACCTATCTTATACCGAATGTTCTTCAGTGGGAAAACGCCCTCATCTGCTACGCAGCGAAAGGGTTATACGCGCCTTGCCCATGGAGTGGCTCTACCATGCTTCTAAGCACTCTCAGCCGTTCCATCCCGTAGCTCTCGCTCATGCTTGCGGAAAGAAACCAACATCCCAAGATCATAAACAACCTTGAGACATCCAGCACCCACAAAAGCAACCCAGAAGAGATTCTTGTCCACCAAGATTCCAACACCCACAGGACCAACGCTTGACGTGCACGTCTTCAAAACGTTGATCAAGCCCAACACAGTAGTCCGTTCCTTGGGCAAGATCACGCCGGCGAGGAAAGCGGCCCTCGGCGCGACGTCCATGGAATGCGTCAGGGCGCGGAAGATCAGAAAGACGATGGCCGTGGTGGCGTCTCGCGGGAGGGGGATGAGGGCTGTGAAGATTGTTGAGGGGAGGTGGGTGAAGACCATGGCCTGTGTAATTGATGTTAGGGGATCCGTCCAACGAGCGTATAGGGGTCCACTTGAGAGGGTTGATGGGGTTTACGTACGTTTAGGTTGCCGATTCGCTTGGCTATCGAGGATGCGACTAGAGTTGTGGCCGCGGCTAGGAGGCTCGTGGTGAAGAAGAGAGAGCCCAAAGTTCCATCGTCCACGTTGAACTTCCAACGGAAGAAGAAGGCAATCCACGATCTGGAACACGTCAGCATCAAGATTTCGGAAAGGGAGTTGTGGGAGGACAGACTGTGTAGTCAAGCTAGAAGCAAATGAATCAAGCGCAAAGAAGAAGCACAAGGTAGCGACAACAGGCATACTCTCCCTCTCAATCCTCGGAACAAGTCTCGATCGCCAAGTCTTGACCTCGACCTCCCTCTCAGGCGGTCGTTCGCCAAGAATCGGAGCAATCTCCTCCTCAGACACGCCAGCTTCGTCCCGCTCTGCCTCAATATCACGGCTCAGGAGTAACGCGAGAAAGAACTTGAACACGCCAAGCGCTGCATACCCGTAAAAGACTATGCGGTACGCATGCTCAAGTCCCCAACCGGCACTCGTCGTCAAGTAATGCGCCGTCCAGCCGCTAGTCATCGCACCAAACGCAGTTCCGGCCGCGCCCATGAGGCTGTACCAGGCATAGACGTCGCTTCTATCCTCAGCGGTAGTAAGATGCGCGACGATACTCTCTTCCACGGCCCGAAAAGGCCCAATTTCGGCGCCGCTGCTCACAATCAGCCTCACTAGTTCTTCATTGTCCGAGAGGGATGTGTGAAATATACCTTGGACTTATGACTCCTACGACAGCAGCACCCAACAACACCCAAAACCCGCTACACATCGCGAAAACAACACCACTGACAGCCACCAACGCCGCGCCCGCAGCCAGCACCGCCTTCCGCCCGACGCCATCGGCGATGGAAGTGAGAACCAGACTGATGCAGACGTCTCCGACGAGAGTAAATGCCATGAACAGGCCGATCCGCGTCGCCGAGAAGCCGAGGAGCTCAAAGTAGGCTACCAGCTGCAGTGTCGTCGCGCCGTAGGCGAACATGCGCACGAAGCGCTGGAGGCATAGTAATTTGATGTCGGGGTGGGATCTCCCGAGGGCTAGGAGGCCTGTTTCGGCGAGTCCGCGGTGTAGAAGTTGTCGAGACATTATGAATGTTGTCTCTACTGTACCTATCTACATGGAGGATGTCAAGACGGGAATAGAGGGAATAAGAAGAGTCATCGTGGGTGCGGATGAATCATCTCCGCGGTCGAAAATTTAAGGTAAATTAATGGTTGTCGGGAAGTGGAGCCTGATTATCAGTTGAAGCGACGCGATTAGGATGCGCAAGGTCCCTGGTCAATCCAATTGATGTGACTCTGAAATCTATATTCTCGCTGCTTTGGCGCGGTCTAGCCATACCTGTCACATAATGTTGGGGAACAGAAGTTGGAAGGATGGACGTGAGATGGAACGGCGTGAGTATTGCTAAAGTGGGTGTTCTAGGGATTACTACTTTATGACAGACACAACTATATGCGAAGACTCCATCCCCGATCACTCATACCCAAGCTCCAAGCTATCCCAGGCCCTCTCCTAACAACATCATTCACCTCTTCCTGATGGTGCCCCTGCGCAAGCCCAATCTCTAGAGCCTGCTTGTCTTTGGAGTTGATGGCTACCATAGCCTGCAGCGTAGAGCTCTTCACCACCCCGATCTCCGCCGCCTTCGTCTGAATGATAGCGAGAGCCAGGAGCATGATGGAGAGCACGGCCTGACATGATATGAACGCAAGCCAAGGCCAGCGAACTTGTACAAACGTTTCCGACGCGAGGGCCTGCCCTTTTGCTATTGTGGTGTCATTCGTGATGCTGTGTGTTATTTGGTCAGCCATCTCATCCACTCGATTCCTTGGGGCCAAGAGAATAGAGTGGACTTACCGATTCGACAAACTCCTCGCAACATTATTCGTAATATTCGCAACAGCCTCATTAATCACAACCTCCCGCGACACATTCGCCCGCCCCTGCGCCTCTAACGTTTTGGCGCCGTACTGCAGTGCAGCCAGGTACCGAGCCGGCGCAAGACCGAGGGCACTCGGCACGTTACTGAGGTCCGAATACGAACCGTTGAGCGCATTTATAAGACTATCTCGCATTGCGCCGAAACCGGTTCCGCCGTAGGGGAAGTTCTTCCCGTCGGGGTTGAGGGGGTCTCGTATCGCGGGTAGGTCATCTCGTACCTGGCCGGAGGGGAACGTGATGGAGCCCTGTTCGACTTCTGAGGTGATTTTAACGACCTTACGCGATTCCATGTTGCCTGTGAAGGACAGGTTATATGTCTTTGCGCAGAGGTAGAGCACAGCTTCCGTAGCTCCGACTGCGGCGTCGTTCCCTTCTCGCAGTGAGTAGATAACTGTAAAGTTAAAGAGTGCCGCCTCAGGGTTCACATCCGACGCAATCGGCTTACTCGTACCCCGCAGATTGACGAGACCAAAGTAATTGCCGCTCAAGTCCGCAGATATCCCGTTGGGAAGCGCAGCTTTCACCCGCGGTGACCCAGTAGGCGTCTCTCTAATCGTGACGTTCAACGAATCCGTCACGTTCCAGAATTTGGCGCAAATGCTCAACGAGCTGTACGTCTCCCACTGGCACTCGCTCGTGGGACAGCGGGCCGGGCTGAGGGGAAACTCTTGGGTGTGGCCGTAGCTTATGCCTTCGAAGATGGATTGTTGGACGTAGTTTTCTTGTTGCACTGTGTCCCGGACGTATTAGTAGATGTATATGTGGTTCAGGGCCAGCAGGGTCGGACAAACAACTGGAAAAGGTATTGGATGTACTAAAGAAGTACGATGTCGATCGGGGTACTGTTGCATCGCCGTCTACGCGCGCGAGGCGGACAGGGTATGTGACGGCAGATTGCGTCAATGTCGATGTGAAGATTGCCGTGATCATGACGATCGTCGCGATGAGACTTGGGGACCTACGTACTGTCAATACTCACCAAACCTTTCTCTCCATCACCAGAACACAAAACTTACCAACCCTTAGTCGTTTTCAACAGCTGAATACTACCCCAAGGCCCTCTACTAGCCGAGTCAAAGTCCTGGAAATCCTTTAGGGGCCTCTCCTTGCGATACCAAAGCCACTTCAACTGCGACAGGCTCTCAGAGACCGGAATCACAAACGCAGCTCGCGCCAGCGTCGCGAGGAAGGCGATGAGCGTATTGAGCGTCAGGCCTAACGGCCACTCGGGCAGTCGTTGGCCATCGAAACGGGACAGAACTCCAGCGAGGGCGGCGACGGAGGCGATACTTATGATTGACCATATAAGCTCTGGTAGCCAGCCCTTGAGCGATGTGCTCCATGACTGCTTGGGTACGGAAGGGGCGAGGCCGGATTCTTTGTGGGATAGATGGGACTTTGTGTCTGCTCTTCCTGGTGTGTAGTCCCACCCACCGTGACGAGGCAATTCGGCCGAGTCTCGGTCCTTGTTGGCCAGCTTGTTGTAAGCTACGTGTGGAACGCCGGTGACATGGGCGGCGCCGGGCTCGGCGGTCACGGAGCTCTTGGGTCGTTGGGTTTGCTCAGAAGTTACGGGCTCGGTGCGGGTCTCCGTTGAGTCGGCGGACTGCACATGGATGAGCGGTCGCCGATCATCTCTCGAGAGGTCCGATGGTTCTGAATTGTACGGCGGACGCCTGGAGCTGTCTGCCGCCGCCCAGGGACCTTCAAGATGGTGCATGGCTGCTCATTTAGTGGCCAGGAATGAGCCTTCAAACTACAACCAGACAACACTCGCGGTCTAGCATTGTGTTCAAGACTTCCACAACCTTAAAGGGAAAGGTCAGCTAGCTTTAAAGTAAGAATGGCGCCCAAGAAACATGCAGCACATCATCTGCGCTGGGGTTGTTTGTGGGTTGATCGTCAAGGCAGCAGGATCACACAGAGACAGCACAGCCCGTAGCTTCCCCACCAGAAAGGCTGTGACAGGGCCGTTTGTGTCTCCTAGGGCCTGAGAATAGCTAAGCGACTGCTGCCAAGCCGGGATGGGGACGCTGTTGGTGGCACCCCATGCAGGAAACCTCGAGGCTCAGGCAAGGGGGCGATAGTCGGCTGGGACATGTGCGTGATGTCGGCTTGCATGGGCACTGCCGGGTAGCAGTAGGATCATTTACCCTGTGTCGCTGTCTCACAGGATTGCCGGCAGCGTTCGATCTGTGAGACCGTTTGTAGCCACTTGAATTTCAGTCATGGTGCTGGACGACAATTGGAGATTTTTTTATACAAGCTGGTTGGCATGGCCGACAACGAGGCTGAAATGAGCTTCAGGAAATAGAACCATTTTTTGCGAAGAGCGTCGGAAGTATCCGTCAATTCTTGTCTAATTTCGTAAGGTAGATCTAGCTCATCTATCTTCTGGCTCAGACTTGCCTTTACGACATCATCGCCGGCGGTCTTGAATTATTAACTTGAACGTATGCTGCAAGCAAAGGGTTACTGCAAAGCAGAAACGCGCAGTCGCTGGCAATATCGTTCAAGAGACCGCCAGCTCGGAAGTATCTGTACGTCATCATCGCCAGCCTTGGGAAGCACTTGTCTCCCAAGCTACACTCATGGAGCAATGAGTGTTGTTCCCTTTGTCTTTCCACTCTCCATCTTTGCGGTCCTCGAGCCGAATTGAATCTAGGAGAACGGTCAGTACGGGAACTGGAAAACACTCTGGGAATGTGCGACCTACCGCTCTCTTCTTCTCCTGGGCGACTGCGCCCATGCCAAGGTCCTTCGCAAGAAGCCTCAGCACTCGCTTCTCAGGATCGACCCCCGAATCTCCTTCGGGATACGCAAAGTCGCACTTCTCCCAGACCGGACACTCGATGGCCCACTTGACAAACTGCTCGTCGAGGAACGGGAATCGTACTTCCCGGCTCCAGTGAGACATGGCTCTATCGTCGCGTCCCAGATTGCGCTTGCCCAGCCGGCTAACATCCAGCTTGAGCTCCTCCAGAAGGCCCGGATAGCCTCTCCTCGAAAATGCGGTGGTATGCCTTACATAGCCGCCAAAGAGTTCGTCGGCCCCGAGGCCAGAGAGAAGCACTCGCGAGGGCGTGGAATATTTGACGACTGGGTCTGATGGGCTACTTTGTGACATGCCGATGCCGCGGGCGGCAAAGTAGAGGGCGTATGCAATGGAGAGATCCATCTCGGTGTTATGGGGATACATCAAAGAGATCACTTGGCTCCGATGCTCGAGTACTTCCTGGTAAGGAACATCAACCTGCCAATGGTCAGTACGAGAAGATAGCTGTATCAAGCTAAAGGAACCTACGGCGATGAATCTCCAATCGCGAGCTGGGCAGACAGTAGTCAGCTCGGCAAAGGACTTCCTTCCCGTGATTCTGTCTGGACAAGCCTCATAGAGACTCGGCGCACCAGGAGAATTGTCAGCCTTCGCTGCTAGGCGAGGGTTCTCGAAAGCCACGTTGATCAGGTCGATGCCTTGATCAGATGGAACCAAGTCGCTAGCCATCCGTGCTAGGATTGTGCAGTCCAGCCCACCGGAGAACAGGACAGCTACTCGCGTGTCGTTGCCAGCATCGTGGGCTGGGGGCTCAGGGACATTCAGGACGCGTAACTTGAGCGACTCGGTCATCTGCTGCTTGACTGATTGCACTGACGGTGACGTTGCTAACAGTGGCTGAACATCTGATGGCGGGAGTGCCATGTTGAAGACTCCAATATTGAGGACCTGAAATCGTAAGTAGCAAAAACGTAATGCATGCCGCGCGAGACATCTAGCTTACCGTCTCGGTATCGCCTGGCGTCCAAGAGCGAGGCGAGCTCGACTTCAGTGAGTCACTGTCCCAGGCTGCCAAGTCTACGACGTATATACCATTTGCTTCCACCTCTGCCCACGCCGGTGATATGCTCTCAGCGATGCTGGATAGCCTGATTCCTCCCTCCCCATTGAGTAGCAACGAGCGCCGACCAAGCCGATCGCGACCATAGAACAGACGAGACGAAGTCGCGTCAAAGTAGACAAACGCGAAAGGACCTTCGATGCTGCGCAGCACATCCAAGACTGCATCTTCTGCGGCATCGCGGCTACTGGCCGCGGCGAGCAAAGCAAAGATCGCCTCTCCGTCGTTCCCTTGGACGGATTCGCCAGCAATCTTCCAGGCTTCGCCGTTCCAACAAAGGACGGAGCCGGAAGACGCGTTACGAAAGGGCTGGTGGGTGACGTGGTCACCGCGCAGAGCTAGAACCGTCGAGGTCAATGTCAGAAAGATAGGAGTATCGCTATCGCCGAACGTTTGACAGCGAACTTCGCCTAGGTGATCCGGACCGCGGTTGCAGAGGCATGTCTTGACGTCTCGGGGCAGCGACTGGAAGCCGTCGCAAGAAACGACAGCGTGTATCCCGCACATGAGACTTGCGCGGCAACAACCGCAAATCTCCTGTGACTACAGATGATCGTCCGTTATGAGGACGTTTGTTTGTGTACTGCCGCAGTTCGCAATGCACGAGATAGAGTGTTGCGGCTGCGTTGGATGTTGGTCTTGAAGTTGCTGTTCGCGCAAGAATCGGCCAACGGAATTTGTTCGGGAACAAAGATTGGGTATCTGGTATTGTGGGCCAATGGAGCACCACCAACCCCACCATCGATTTAGGTACGTACTTTCGTGCCTTCCAGGGTTCTTGAGATGGTCAGATTGGCTTGCTTTAAAGAAGAACACCATTGAAGTTAAAGATCCTTTAATTGCTTATTCTCGATTCTCTATTGGAAAAAATGACTAGGACTTCTCTGATCTGTGTTTCTTTCCTGGAGAGGGCCACATCTGGCATTGATGCTATGAGCAGACTTCACTCAGATGACGCCACGACGCATCGCCATGAACTTCCCCTCCCCTGAAGAAGGCAAGGAATGAGCGGAAGCTAGAAGTAGGTCGGCATAGACTACCCGAGCAAGTGACCTTGCTTTTCCGGGGAGATCTGGGGAGTTTCCCCAGTTGCCTGATGCAATTGGAACCCCAGCCGCGAAGACCCGAACTTGGCAGTTGAGGTCAGCCCAGTGTTAGTCGACAACATCACGCCACTCTCCCAGCTGTCTTATCATGCGACAGTGCCATCATCATCGGCTCAGCGAGATGTGACAGAACAGCAGTATAAGATGCACAACATACCCTCCGGCGTTTAGCAGAAACGCTAGAACGACTAAGCATCACAATGGCATCTAGAAGAACCTGTCAACAACTATGGCGCACTCAACCCACCATTATAAGCGGCATCACAAGCCGAAGCATCACAAAACCAGCATCAATCGCCAGAACCCTGCCCACAACGACGACAGCAATACTCCTCCCCAAAGCCCGACTTACAACTCAATGCCGGCAATCAAATTCCTTCTCATCTCGTCGTCAAATTCGCCTATTCTCAAGCCATTCTCCTAAGACGGAAGCAGCAGCAGCGGCGCCCGTCACCCCGAAATGGACGCCGCCGAGTGACCCCACTTCCCGGCCCGTCGTCATCCTCGGCGCGGGGGTCCTTGGTCGGCGATTAGCCGTTATGTGGGCCTCCACGGGCCGCCCCGTCATTCTCCACGACGTGGACTCCAGCGTGCTTTCCTCTGCGATGCCCTACGTCGGGGATGCGCTTACCACAGTTTGTGCTGTCCGTGAGACGCATCCGGGTCGGGTCACGACTAGCACTGTTTTGGAAGAATCGTGTAGCGGCAATCCCTGGATGGTCATTGAGGCTCTCCCCGAGGATCCGGAGATCAAGCGCGAGATGCTGGGCAAAGTCGATGCACTAGTTCCCGAAGACTGCATCCTAGCTTCCAACAGCTCGACGTGGCCGACATCAGCTCTTAGGCATCCGATTACCAGGCCGGAGCGCCTGCTGAACACGCACTATCATCTACCGCCACGAAACACATACGTCGAGCTCATGACTTGCGGCGTCACAGACCAAGACCTCATGCCCTTCCTGAAAAAGCAGATGAAGAGCGTAGGCTTCAATCCCTTAGCCCTCCCACATGAATCAGTCGGCTTCGTCTTCAACCGGATATGGTCCGCTGTCAAGTCAGACACGCTACGCATCCTGCAGACGGAACTCGCTTCGCCCCGGGATATTGACGCTCTCTTCAGAGACTTCTTCCACGCTGAGAAAGGGCCTTGCGAGAAGATGGATGAAGTTGGGCTGGACACTGTGTGGCAGGTTGAAAGGAACAGGGTGAACATGGGGGTCGTGGATGCGAAGAAGGCTGGGTACACGGACTGGCTGGAGGAGAATTACGTTTCTAGAGGCAGGCTTGGGGAGAAGACGGGAGATGGGCTGTACTCGGCCGAGGAGAGGAAGATCTTGCGTGAGAAGAGGGCTCAGGCAAAGAGCTCGTATTTAAAGTTGCGCCGATGATATACAGCCAACTGTATGCTTCGGGCTAGCGGGTTTTGTTTTATCAAATACACGGAGAATCGGTTGGCCTAGTTTCGGCAGCTCCGCATTGTGAAAGTCATGATAATGATACACATCCATAATGTGTATTGCAGCCTTGGTGAACAAGCAGCAGTGCCACTGCTGGATCCTCATCTCGCTTGATAGTCAGTAACAGCCACGGCATGCGTCCTTCCTGCCCACGCCAGAATCCTCGCTGCTTATTCCCCTTCACGTGCTTCAGATCTTGGGCTTCTTCGTTCGTGGCTCCCCCGTCTCTGCTGGTCCATATCCGCCAATTGCAGTCTTCCCGGCCTGACTCCTCATGTAGTTGAGATGGTTTTCCAAGATTGGTAAACTAAACCCGTTAATTGACGCTTCGAATCTTGCTGTAATATAAGCTAAAGGGGAGCATTCTTCATGGACTACTCGATAGTCGGGCCTCATAATGGAAAGCCTCGTCCAAAGGATAATGACTTGTCCGAGAAAGGGTATTCGGCCATCCTGTAAGAGCCCAAATTTGCCTAGACCAAGGACTTCTACAGTCTTCATCCCTTCAAATAGGGTAGCGTTATTGCACCGAGCTTTGATCGCCGTCCAATCTTGGGTCGCAGGAACGCTCGGAGAAGAATGGCCAACAACAGCTTGGGAACTAGTAGATACTTTAGGCTTTTCTTTTCTAATGCATCCTCGGTTCTTCAACGCTTTCCTTATGGCGTTGTGGAAAAGTCCATTTAGATCGTTCACAAGATTCTGTCGGGCCTTCGTGATAGAATCTGATTGTTACTTGTTAGGTGTATTGCATTCGGGGAACATAATGTTTAGAAACCCACCTAGTATGTCGGTGGCCTCGTAGCAATCGTAAGTGTTGAGGGGTACCCCTTTCTTATCAATGAGACGTCCTTCGTTATCAATGCCAGAACCAAGAACGAGATTTCGACTCATCAATTCGAAAGCCCCTTTGTCCCCGAGCTCCCAAGCAATCCAGAGTAGTCTTTCGTTCCCTTCTATGCTTGCCTCGAGGGTCTTGAAAGGTTCGAACCAGGATGGTGCCCACTGGAATATGACCGACAACATGTCATACTTGTTCGTGACAACAAGCAGCTGATAGAGCTCGTCCAGTTTAAGCTTCTGTGGGACCGCCCTGAAGCGGCCATGGATGATGTTGAGGAGGATGAAGAAGGGCGCAGGGCGGTCTTCGGGAAGCTTCACGATCCAGGTGTCTCCCTCAGGCTTGGACTCCGAGAATCCACCAAAGAGCATTGCCCGAAATACGGGAGACGCACGTGCTAGTGCCCTAGAGCAAACGACGAATTCGAACACGTCGGCGCCGCCATCCTCTAAGCTGCCGACTCTGAGAGTGAGGTCACCTCGATCATCGAAGGAGACCTTCTCAGTTGCGATAGGAGATCCCGCTCGCTCGGAACCATTGATTTTGGGTTCGTCGGAATTCTTGGGGACGTCAGACGAGTTCTCTGTGGCTGACGCCATGGTGACTGCTTGCATTTGGTTGTTCTGAGTTCTGGCGGCAGATCCTCAATCAAGTGCATGCGACTAAACAGCCTGCATCTAGATATGGGGTATATGCATATGATGGATCTATGAGTGGGGTTTTCGCTCTATACCCTGGGTCACTGAGCACTGAGCTTGCCGCCCGCCACTACTCATTTAGATACTAGACGTAGGTAGGTTCTGAGTACCTTGGGCAG